ATCACGGTGATCTGAGGTTCATAGCCGGCTAAATTATACAAATTCAAACTGAACATTTTCAGAAGTTAATCATACCATGGAAATGGCAGAGAAATAAAAAGATGGACACAGAGATCGTCTGGCTATCTGAAGTCTGAACGAGATGACTGGAATGCCTTGAGTGCTTTTTTTAAGATGTTGCGTCTGGTTTTTGGAGAGAGAGTCCCCTTCTTCTGTGCTGGAAGCTCTCTATTTATAGGAGCAGAAGAGGTCTTAAGTGATGATGACTGAGCAAGGATATTTGGCTGTTGTCCAAAGTTAGCTTGCTGATTTGACGCTCTGAATTGGTCCATAGAGGGGGAGATCGATCTTTCTAACGAAAACTGCCGGTCCTTCGAATTAGTTTCCTGGTCTGAGGCGTTTTCGTCCTTGGCAATTTGATGTGCAAGTTGGCTTCTTACCTGGCTTGGTGGCTTCCTTAGGCGGCTGGCTTTTCTTAATGGAAGAGGGAAAAGTCAAATCGTCATTAAATGTTGATGGTCCTTCTCACCTTCGCGTGGGTTTGGAACAGCTTCCGATTTCCCATTTTTCAATAGTCCAATCGCTTTGGGCCCTCTACCCCTTGGGCTTTGGTTTTTGTCTTGGTCTTTATTTTAAACAAAAAATCTTTTTGAAAAACTTTAAACTGTAGACAATTGTTGGGCTTGGGCCCTTGCCATGCTCTTTTTTGGGGAGGTAACCATTTTTGGTCCATTGACCAAAATTGGGTACAAACAGTTTGCAAATTTATATGGTTTCCTTTGATTTCTCTAAATGCAATAGCAGATCTTAAGAAAATTTCAGTTGCCGACCTGCACAGAAATCTTTTCCCGTCTAACATCTGGGAGAAAAAGAAAAATATTGTCCAATAGATGGAGGAGGAAATCAGTGATGATGGTGGCTGTGGACCTGTGGTGGAGGATTGTTTTGCGGGGAACTCTTGGACTACCAGGACTCAAAGACGACAAAAATGAAAGAAAAAAGTGGGAAAAATATGAAAGACAAGTAACTAGAACAAATGCCATTGACTTAAATGCTATGGAGGCCGGCATCTTTCCCTTGTCCTTCCTTAGATAAAGTGCTTGGTACAAAGATATGTTGTTGAGGATCAGAACCCCACACAGAAGAATTTGCAAAGCCATTGTCTCGTAAACTTGTGCTATGCCCTTTGATCCAGTGGTTGCTTCCTTCACAAACTCAACAAAGCAGTACAAATTGAAAAATCCAACTGTTGCCAATATGGTGAGCATTGGAGAAGAGGCCCCAAATTCCATAATCTCTTTCTTGTATCGCTGCGACACATCTTCATCAGCCACCTTGGCTGTTATGGCAAATGCTGAATCAGTATATCCCAGGAAGTATAAAATGGTATCAACGAAGGCAAAGAGCCACATTCGTACAACCACATTCGTTGGTCATTCCACCAACCTAGGATTGTGCCACCAGACCACAGAAACTCCACAAAGCTCAAAGTATACTTGTCGATGATCACATATGCAAATGGTATGAGCCATGGACTTGAGATCTAGATTCACAAACAAAACCCATCAGACATTGAGAAATATACTATTTGGGCGGCTATGTTATAAACCACGTCTCTGATAGAGGTGAGGCGAGACTTAATTTTGTGAGTAGTTATGTCTCATGTTTTTTCCCTTTTTATTATAACAGAAATAGTATAGCCGCGCGGCTATACACGGGTTTTTCCAAATTTTTTTAAAAAGAAATAGTATAGCCACACGGCTAAACTGGGCTTTTTCAAACTTTTTATAAAAGAAATAGAGTAGCCGTGCGGCTATACTCGGTTTTTTTCCAACTCTTTACAACAGAAATAGTATAGCCGGGGCGACGATACTCGGTTTTCCCAACTTTTTTTTTTAAAAGAAATGGTATAGCCACACGGTTATATTGGGTTTTTTCTAATTTTTAAAAAGAAATATTATAGCCGAATGGCGATACTCGGATTTTTCCAATTTTTTTAAAAAAAACTGTAGAGGCGCCCGGCTATACTCGTATTTTTCTAAATTTTTTTAAAAGAAATAGTATAGCCCCGCGGCTATTCTAGGTTTTCCCCCCTTTTTTAATAAAAGAAATAGTATAGCCGTGTGGCTATAGTAGGTTTTTCCTAATTTTTCAAAAAGAAATAGTATAGGTACCCGGCTATACTCGTATTTTTCTAAATTCTTTTGAAATAAATAGTATAGTTGGGTGTCTATACTTGCTTTTTCCATTTTTTTTATAAAAGAAATAGTATAGCTGCGTGGTAAAATTCACATTTTTTAAAAAGAAAATGTACTATACTCATATTGAACATGTACGTACATAATTTTCATGTTTAATACAAATATTTTTTTATAAAATTTTCAATAATGCACACAAAATTCGTGTATTATAAACACTAGCCTCTCCGCACGCACTTCCGTGCCTGCGAGAGGCTTTTTTAAAAAAAATTAAAATTTATTTTAGAATTAAAACAGATAATGGGTAGTTGTGTTCCATAAAAATAGGCCATTATCTGATTTTTCTTTTAATTTTAATTTTTTTAAATAAGAAAAACAAAGTGTAGCCGGGCGGCTATACTACTTCTTTAAAAGAATTATAAAACACTCCGTATAGCCTCCCGGCTGTACTATTTCTTTAAAAAAAACATGTATAGCCGATTGGCTATACTATTTCTTTTCAAAAAAAAATTATAAAAAACCTAGCATAGCCGCTCGGCTATACTATACAAATTAGAAAAAAATTGGCAAATTACAACTTAAAAGTTCAGTGACTATAATATTTTAATATATATTATTTGTATTCAATAATATATGTACAATACGTTACTTTTGTGTGTATTATTTAAAATTATGTCAAAAATACATGTATTAAATATGAAAAATACGTAAGTACATGTTCAATACGATTATTATACATTCACCTTTTAAAAAATTAGGGAAAACCAAAGTATACTAGCATGGCTATCCTATTTCTTTTGAAAAATTAGAAAAAACCGAGTATCACCGCACAACTATACTATTTATTTAAAAAATAAGAAAAAACTGCGCATAGCCGGCAGCTATACTATTTCTTTTTAAAAAAATTAGCGAAAATCGAGTGTGGCCGTTCGGCTATTTAAAAAAATTTTAAAAACCAAGTATAGCCGCCCGGCTATACCATTTCTTTTTAAAAAACTATAAAAAAAAAGTGGCGGTTATACTATTTCTTTTAAAAAATTAGTAAAAAATGAGTATAACCGCACGGCTATACTATTTATTTAAAAAAAGAAAAAATCCCGTATAGCCGGGCGGCCATACTATTTCTTTTAAAAAATAGAGAAAACCATTTCAAACAAACAAAACCAATCCCAATGCTTCACCTACCTTTCTACACAAAATACGGACGAAATCAATCACACTTCCAATTTCAGTAATCAAATTCAATTTACAATTTCAGTAATCAAATTCCATTTACAATTTCAGTAATCAAATTCCATTTAGCATATTCCCAACAATTCCTTTTCTGAAAAAGCTGTTCCTGAAGAGGGCAAGTAGACTCTGACTTCAAAACCCCCCAAAATTGAACCAAAATGCTTACATATTCCCAACAATTCCTTTTCTGAAAAAGCTGTTCCTGAAGAGGGCACGTAGACTCTGACTTCAAAACCCCCCAAAATTGAACCAAAATGCTTACATATTCCCAACAATTCCTTTTCTGAAAAAGCTGTTCCTGAAGAGGGCACGTAGACTCTGACTTCAAAACCCCCCAAAATTGAACCAAAATGCTTACATATTCCCAACAATTCCTTTTCTGAAAAAGCTGTTCCTGAAGAGGGCACGTAGACTCTGACTTCAAAACCCCCCAAAATTGAACCAAAATGCTTACATATTCCCAACAATTCCTTTTCTGAAAAAGCTGTTCCTGAAGAGGGCACGTAGACTGACTTCAAAACCCCCCAAAATTGAACCAAAATGCTCAAACAATGCCAAGACATGCTGTCATATTGAGAAAAGATGGCTTTGTTTGGGTTTGTTTAGGTTGCGGAAGGGATTCGAAGATAGATGAAGTCGGGGTTTGGGTTTGGGTTTGGGTTTGGGTAAAGAAGAAAACAGAGAGGAAGAGGAAGAACTGGGTTTTGTAGATTGTTCTTGATCTTCTTCTTTTGAAGCAACATTTTTGGTTGGATCATTTGCAATCAATCGAACTCTTGATGCGAACCTGAATTAGCATAAAGGCGTCAGAAAAATTTCAAACAAAAATATCACACTTAACCAAGATTTCAGCCAAGCCACTAAGAACAATAGAACTTACAATAGAGAACAGTATGTCTCATCCATATTTGATTCGGCAGGAGAAACATTAATGAACATTAGCGTCTTGGCATTACCAGCAAGTGAATAACTCATCAACATCGTCAGTTTATCATTCCTGTAGGGTATGTGTTGATTCCGTTCAGACAGAGCTTTGATAACATCTCCGAGTGCTGAAAGTGATTTATTAATGCTTTGAGCTTCTTTAAGTTCACTGCCTGAAGAGCATGACTTCTTGTTTCTTTCCGAACCAGCAAGATCCACGAAACTTAGCTACACATGAAAGGAAAGACATTATGAGCATAACTTCACATGAAACACTAAACCATGCCTTAAGTGAATGCAAACTAATGTGCATGAACAAATATTCATTCATTTATTCTGGAAAATATTGATATACCTTTCCTCTTCCAACTGATTGAATTTGAAGGTTGGTACTTTCAATGAAAATTGAAAGTATGACATGAGATCTTGAACTTTCTGCATTCATTTGAGTTCCAGCTATATGTCTTTGTTCTAAGCCACTTTGAATGACGCTTTTCAGTTCATCATATGTTGAAATTGATAAAACCGTTGCATTTTCAACAAAAACCATACCCTAACATCACAAATGAAACATTGAGAACGAACTTAAAGAAGGTGATACTAATCAACAAATTAGGCCAAATACCAAAACGAAATATTTAAATAACGTAGAAATTTAAGGACCAGATATGCATAACAACTCAAAACATTTGTCAGTCTTATAAAAACCACATGGCTCATAGAATTACAAAACATTATAGACCTACATAAACAGATTACCTTCGGATCTTTCTTGATATCCAATTTCAAAGACTTCGAATTTTTTGGTAAGAGAAGGTCCACAAATGTTTCTCGATACAATTCCACCATGTATGCCTGTGCAAAAATATATAGATGAATACCATTATCAAGTCTAAACAACAAGAATGAAAGTAATTTGTATATTTGTTTGAGGGTGTTAAATTAGATAGATGGACTTCTTCTCCATACTCTTATTGTCTTCCATTTTCTTCCATTTGAACAGATGTTTTTATTGTAGTTAATACACATGCTGATAGGAAAAAGAAAGCATCACAATAATCATATATCTCTTTTGTGAGAGTTGCAAGTGTCAACCACTAACAAGTAACCATACGCCCATACAAAATACACAAACCAAATATGCATTGATTTAAAATATTTGACAAAAGAAAATTGACTGGCAACAAATGATCATTATATAGAACCAACAACACATACCTTCAACGAAAATGAGAATTTGTTTCTGTCTCGACTCATTATTTTAAAAAGTTCTGCAGTTGCCCGTGGAATGAGTCCAGGATTAGTTTCTGAACCATAAATGGTATATGTTTTTCCAGAACCCGTTTGCCCATATGCAAATATGCACACATTGTACCCATCTACAGCTGATTGTACCAAATACTGCATTAAATGGACAACAAAAAGATAAAATATTACAAATGAAATACATACGTATATTTCATTGCAATTAAGAAAAATAGATTTCATTAATTGAATAGAAGAAAACTTGCCTTTGTATCTTCAAACACGTCTTCTTGGGTGGCACAACCATCAAATATCCGATGAAATGTATGCTTTTTAAGTTCACCTCTGTGTGGATGTGTAAGCGTGAACTCATCAAGACTTGTAGTAGCCCCTCTTTCTTCATCTGCAATCTCCTTTCCAGTGAAAGGTCTTATTCGACAAAAGACTCTGATCTTGCCTTTCATATATTGAAGGTATCCAAATGAACAAAAATGTCACTGATAGTGAAAAGATTGAAAAACTTAATGCTCAATCAAATATCAAAAGTATTCTAAAGAAATGCCAACCTTCTATAGTATTAAAATAGCGCTTCCTCATGAGTTGTTCCTCTTTGAAAAGCACTTCCAACTCAGCTAATCGAGCCCCTTGCATCCTCAAGATGGACTCATTCTTTCTATCGATGTCCTGAAATCAACATAAATTCATTCACAAAATGTTCAAGAGGATAAGCAATCCTAAAAAACAAACAACAAACAGAGCAAGTGCCTGCTCTCAAGGTCAAGAAACTATAAGAAACAAGCACAGCAACAAAGCAACCCTAAACCCTAAGAAACATAAGAAATAAAATAAAAAATCTAGTACAGGATTATCATTACCTTTAAGTTACTTTGCAATGAAGCAATCTCAGAGTTCATGATGGCAAGAGTTGAATTAGCAACAGCTAATTCTTGCTGAATTTTGTTCTCTAGAAAATCAATCTGCATAGTTAACACTCACTGAGATATTTGATTTCTCCATTGGGTACCACAAACAGAGACAAAAAAAAAAGCGTTTTGAAGAAACAAAGCCCAAAGGCATTACCTTATCAGCTTGAGTTTTCACAAGTCCAGATATTCTTTGCTCCAATAAAAATCTTTCATTTCTTAGTGTCCTTATAGTTTCCTCTTTCGCTTCCAACTCCTCATCACGAAGCTTTATCTCATCTTTAAACTTTTGTAACACCTATATCAGATATCATTCCACTGTCAATAAATGAAAAGAAAAACAAAAAGGAAAATGGAAAGAAAAGAGAAATTGTACCTCTGACAGATCTTGGTCTCTGGTAGGGGCCTCATGTGGGCGAACACCGAAGGAAGCACGGTGAGGAGTAGCTGGGTTGTGGCGATAAACGCCAACCAACACCAACTCCATAGTGGAGGGAAGGACCCTAAAAACAACATGGTCATCAACTAGAAGCTGGTTCTCTCTTGCAAATGTGAGCCACTTCCTACCTATAGTTGTTCTACACTTGCCTGTTAATTCATTTTTAATTTCTAGTTGCCACTTTTTCCTACCCCATTCACCCAGGCATATTTTTCTACTGATTCTAATGGTGAACATGCCAAATCTTACATCACTCAACTGTTTTTTTACATTAACAGGTGGAGAGAAAAAAGGTTTGCAACTTGTACAAAGTTCGTCAAGTTGAATCTTTTGCACAAATTTTTTAGGTATCATCTGCAAGAATAAAAATCAAAAAGAAAATTATCATACTTTAAAAAAGAAAATAAAAAAATAGAACTAATGCTGCATATGAGTAAGTCTTACCGTGTTGCTTTGTGTGAGCGATGACTTACTCATCACAACCATAAACTGATTATCATCCATAGCTAGATGTTTACTGGCTTCGCAACCCACTTCATCTACATTGTGGAACTCAAAGAAGATGATCTACGAGATGAGGTTGAAAGTTAAAACTAATATACGCATAGTTTTGTTCCATAAAAGGTAAATTTCTCCACTCACTTCAAACACCCACATACATATTTATATGCATACATCTTTCTCTTAGCATAAATATATATATAGCAAAAAAAGAAAAAATGTGATGTAACCCTAAGTCCCAATCAGACCCATACCTGACCAGTGATGGTGGAGCTTCGTTGTGGGAGAGAGAGCGAGGAGCTGAGGGAGGAAGAGGCGGGACTCGACCCTCGGAGGCGGTGGTGAGAGGAGCTGAGGGAAGGAGAGGTGGATGTCGACCCTCGGAGGTGGTGGTCGGTTACACGAGGGTTCCCTCGTGGTGGGAGAGAGAGAGAGGAACTCGACCTTCAGCACACCGCCAACATGAAAGGGTCATTAGGCATATATAGTAATGGACAGAAGAAGCCAGCGCTGATTTATTAAAAAAGAAAAAAGAAAAGGGAAGATAACAATGTTGGGGCAGATTTACTCTTCCTTGAAATCTCAAGACCTTTCAAACAGTGTAACAAGTTAATAATTCGGAACCTTTACATAAACTAAGTGAGGTCTAGAACTACTCAACAAAACTAAATCGAAAAAATAACAAGCAAAATGGTTTTAGCCAGAATAATTGAAAATGATTAGATTTCTTCTGTAAGAATGGAATTTTCAATTAAGATAACTGGCTATGCAAACTCATTATAATTATAACCCTACTCTTTAATCTCACTGTAAATAGCATCATTCCTAGATTAAATTTATTTACTGATTCAACCATTTATCTGAACTTGATTCATTCATGCAGGGCATAAGCTAAGCTCAAATGATCAGTATAAGAATATTTTGTAATAAATTACCCAAATATTTTCAATTGGTTGAATTGGTAGTGTTAGTGAACATAGATACAATTCCAATTTTCTTTCCAGGAACTTAAATAACAAGTAGAGAAGGACAAGACCGATTAGCGAAAATTATGATAGACCACTAATTTGAAGATAAACAAGAATTAAGAGTGATAATTAAAAAAACAGGATCATAGGCAAGCAGGAGAAAGCATATCTTGCGTAGGAAGTAAAAATGGAAGCCAAAGCAATGCAGAAATGCAAGAAAGGACATACACAAATTTATGTAACTTTAAAACAAAAGGCAAGCTAAGATACTGTTAGCAAACCTGTTCATGTGATGGGAATGAATAATCTAACGGATACTGGGGGAGTTTGAGAATTGAACGGACAAGCCTCTGCACAGCCACCATCACGATAAAATTAATACTATCTAACAAAATTGTGCACATTGAAAAATTAAATGGAAATTAACAATTAGGGAAACATGGCAACCAATATCCAAACTGTTACAGAAAAGAATGCCTGCTCTGGGAATTCATTTTCTGGAAAAGTCTTTAACAACTGATCAATTGCTTGGCGATTTGAATGGCGCCAAGTTGGTGTGGCGAGGGTTTTTAGTTTTCCAACTAATCGGCGACCGCATTCAAATACCCAAATGTAACCCTAAACTCATTTTGAAGAAACCAAATTTCTTTACATGGAAAAATAATCAGCCACATAACCCTTAGATTTCATCACCCAGAACTAGAAATAGATTTAGAAGATGAAGACGCACAAAGAGCTTTACCTGTCACAGTGGCGACGAGAGATTCGAGAGATCGAGCCTTCAAACTGCCAAAGAAGGAGAGAGAGAGAGATGGGGTTTAGGACTCTAGCGTTCGTCAAAGGAGAGAGTGTAGCGATTTCAGAGTGAGGGAACGAGAGGGAGAGGGGGAGAGAGAAAGAGAGCAGAGCTCGATTTGGGATTTAGGGGGGAGAAACAAAGTGGCCAAAAAGTGATAGGAGGCCAATAACAAGGTATTTATAGACATTAGTTGTATATGCTTTAAAAGAAGAAGTCATTTCCAGCCAGCCACGGACCAAGTGGTCAAAATCAAATGGAAGGCTTGCGAGGCAAATGGGTGTTGCTGATAGACTTGGAAGCTATGGCCGACTTTGGAATTGTGCAATGTTCGTATTTGTGTTGATGTTCTTAATGGAATACTAGCCTCTCTAAGCGCGGGAGGCTTTTTTTTAAAAAATTTAAATTTATTTTAGAATTAAAAAAGATAATGGTTAGTTGTGTTCTACAAAAATAGGATCCATTATCTGATTTTTCTTTTAATTTTAATTTTTTTTAATATGAAAAAGTGTGAATTTACCATATTATCTTCATTTAATTAATAATTTCAATTCTTAATGTTTGCATTAACCAATGGTATTTTCTAGTATTTTGAATATTTCACCATTCTCTGCCTTTTGCTTTATATATATAGATGATAAGAATACAAAATTATGTAATTAAAAAATATTACGTGGCAATTGACATGTAATGCCATATCACATGCCACATAGGTTGGTAAATAAATGTTAGTAACAAAGTTGGTGCCCGTAGCATTATTGATTTGTTTTGGTTTACCATGTTTGGAAACATAACTGACTAATTACTCATTATGGGTTTAGCACTGTAACTCCCTTCCCTTGGTCATGCTGCTCCTTTTTTTAAATTCAAATGGTCATTTGCCTCTTCTTGTCATCCAAGTGCCTCTCTCTCTCTCTCTCTCTCTCTCTCTCTCTCTCTCTCAACTGTTAAAATTAAGTAGCAAACTCAAAATGTGCAGCACGCCATGGACAATGACAAGACTGGTGAGATGGCGCATGAAGGACTGGGCTTCATGTTTCTTGGCTTGCAGGTTTTCTTTAGGTAAGCAAATTAATCCATATAGCAACTTATTCATGAATCATGATGAACTGGCTAGTAGTTTATACTATCACAGAAATATCAGGCCCTGTAAATTTAAACTGTTATTAATTATTTGATCATGTGATAGTTTATTTCAAATTGGGTAATGCTTTTTTTTCTTTTTGTCTGTTTAAATAGATGATGAAGCAGCTGATAGATGTTGTCCTGCAACCCCCCAACTGCCAATAAGAAACATGGCTTTCGATATGCAGGATGACAGCAGATGCAATGAGACAAATGCGAAAAAGATGTCAAGGCACAAAAAATGTAGCCGAGAACGACGATTAAGCCACAGTTCGAAACAGGTTAAAGGCAGTTGCCCAGTTGAAAGTAGGAGTTCCAATAACTCAAGATGCAGGCCACATTTTTCAGACGAAGAATTTATAGTATTCTGCTTTAAAGAAGATGGAGCATTCGACGTCGTGAAAAATGGAAAACCGGAAGCCGCCAGTAGTATAGACTGCACGTCAAGAAACTCACCAAGGCCTGTGAATCGCAAGGTTAGTGACAGTGTTGTATATTCCTTGAACATGTTGAATTATAAAATTAAGACAAAGCCCCCCAAGAAAAAAAGGAAAAGAAGGTTAATTTGATTAGTGGTTTGCTTTTGTTTGATCAAAACAGCTTAATTATGGCGAGGATACAAAAAGAGCTGAAAGGTGTAGCAATCAGGAGAGGTTGACTGGAAAAGCATATGATATTTACCCTACAACAAATGATGGAAAATGTATCATCTTTGACCAAAAGGTAGAGGGTCTTTATATTTCTAAGGTTAAGATATCTTCTTTTAGAACAATATGCATGTTAGCTAGCTCACAACACAAGTCTTAAAAAATGGTGTGCCAAAAAGTATACATTCATAATAACTTGTACCCCATATTCTTTTTTTAAAATGTAATTCTTTTGCTAAGGATGAGGAAGAAGAAGAGGAGAATTACTTGAGTACAGAACCACCTCCTGGTAGCATTGCTGAGGATCGTAGGATGGTGTCCGTTGAATCAAGTGATTCTAATCAATCCGACGGCAGCACAGGCTCTTTTGCTTTCCCAGTGTACGTTAGAACAATTAATTAATTCATGATAATGATATTACTTCCTGGGTGTATTATTTCTTAAGAAGTTGGTAAAAACAATGCAATGCAGGTTGGGTTTGGAGTGGACGGGCAGTCCCGTGCAAATGCCAAAGTCAGAAGCTCTGGAATTAAGAAAGCACAAGGCTCGCTGTATAGGCTTTCAGTTTCAGTGCTGTAGATTCTGAAAGTTGCAATGCATTGCTTTCTCATTTTTCCCCCACGATATTGGATTAAGCATAACCAAATTACTGTGTCTTCTAGCCGAAGCAATAAAAAGGTCATAATGGTTTGTGCATTCATGCTTGTTACTTTCAAACATACTTAGCTTCCGATTGATTGGGATTAATCATTTTAATTGCAGATTAAGCAATATCACTTTTCATTTGGTGGTCAATTGCTGATGCATAACTTTTCAATGTGAAAGTATGATATCCTTGCGTTTTCAGAAAAGCAACATTCTGCCATGAACTTTCAGATCTAAGATAGTAGATAAACAATGTTTATAACTCAATTCCTGTAAGGAAGGAGGCTGCGAGAGAAAGCAAAGACTGATGAGAAGCAAAGGGCATATTGAAGATAACAATATATGTTTGATCATGGGAGAAATTAGATACCATTATCAACAACCATTTCCATAGTCTATTTATCCTAAAAGAAAAAGAAAACGAATCACATTTTCACATAGCCCAGCCAAAAACGAGGAATGAAATATAAAATATACAACAATCAACAACAATTCATGGATACTACCACATTGCAAAACTAGTCAAACCTAGTGGAGCTAGCATGAGAATTCTTCAGTAGGGGTCTGTTAATTCTCCACTTTTGGTTTAGAGAACCAATGATTGAAGATGTAACCTTGCACTGGCTGCAGCAGCAATAGATTCTTCATCTTGCTTTTCTTTTGCAGCGGCAACAGCAGTGATGTAAGCTTTTCTAGCTTCTTCCATTTTCCGCATCTGCGTCTCATCCAAATCATCCTGTTCATTAAAGCATGGATCTTTCAATTACAAGGAATAAAGCAGCCAACAAGTGGATATACATACATAAACAAACTCTTCTCGACACATTATATCCCACACAATAGTACAACTTTGGGCTCAACAAATTGTCCTTTATTGTCTTTCCAGCTTGCTTGAACACACACACAGACGCTTTGTCACCCACACACAATAACCAAGTAAACAGATACTTGAAAAATTAATAGCAATGATACAAGAATATGATTGCAAGAACAGAGGTGTCTAGAGCAATTAGTTAAAATAAAATACGTGACACAACCAACCAAGAAAATAAAGGAAATAAACAACCATATCCAAGGGATGGAGTTATGAACTTACGATACGAGGAAGATGATCCACAGTGCACTGTGAAATATCATAATCTTCACCGTATACAATGGCATCCACTTTCATCAAGCCTTCAAATAGGAACATAAACGATGAAATCTGTCCTTGCAAGGAGTCTAGCTCCTCTTGAAGCTTCTCCACTTTCCTGTTAGATGTCATTGCTTCCCACTGTAACTTTTCCAAAGCAGCTTGCTTATCTGCAAGCTTAATCTGTGAAAAAGGACATATGTCAATAACAGTATGATTCACAGAAAGCGTTGTGTGTGCGTATGAGAGAGAGAGAGAGAGAGAGAGAGAGAGAGAGAGAGAGAGAGAGTAAGCAAAATAAAGTTTATAAACAGGACTCTGCTCCATTTTAGGCAAGTTGCTACTTTAACACAGATTTTGTTTGTATTCTACATTAACACAGGGAACGTTTCAGACAATCTTGCCTTTGTACCCTCTAGAACCCAATGAAGCAACTCCAAAATCTAGATTGACTACTGTCATTAGGCCTCACAAGGAAATAAAATATCATAAGAAATCTCTAATCGTCTCCAAGGCACCGAGCGATGCACGCTTACCTTTGCATCAGAGAGTTGTAGCTTAGCAGCCTTGATTAACGCATCCTTTTCTGAAACTTGGTGCTTCATTTCGTCAAGTTTTGCTTGAATAACTTTCATTTGGTCCTTTGATATCTCCAATGACTTTAAAAGTTCCTCCTTCTCTGATACTTTTCTTTGTAGATCATCCACTTGTACCCTTAATGCATCCAACTCTTCTTGCTCCGCCGAAGTTCTTGGGGAAAAACTAGAAAAGATGTCAGAATCAGGGTTATTGCTAGCATTCGTGCTGGGGTCCTTGTCTCCATGATCCCTCTTCTTTCTTGTGGGAATGGATTGAGCTGGATTCCTCCCTTTTTGTTCAGTTACCTTCAGCAGATAAGAGGAGAGGAATATTAGGTATACAGAAGGAACCCTTCACAGCAAAATCGAAGTAACGAAAAGCAACAAAATCAAAATGAGATTGTTAGGTATACAAAGTGAGAGCTTAAGAACCAAAGTAAAATCCCAAGGTTTTGATGTAGTAGCAACAATTCCAATGGTGATTGATAATGAAAATTTGTCATCAATAATCTCCTTAATCCAAGAAACCTCTTAGATTTTACACAAGTTCAATCATCTGTTGCATTACTGGTTGACTAATAAAAGGGAAATTCAAAACAAACAAAACAATAAGGAAAGAAAATTATTTGAGTCCTCGGAAAAGATAAAACCACTGGAGCATTCACAGACATCAAATTCTTCTAAGGACAACATATAGTAGTTCTTCTACACCCCACCAATTTGGGTATACTATCATGCTAAGTGCTATCATGACACTTTATACTACAATTGTATTTACTGCATTTAATGTTTAAAAAAATGTATAATAACATTAGCTTCATCACTAAAAAAAAAAAACCGCATAAGTATTCATAAATAACAGTTGATTATTCCAAAATTAGCAAGCTAGCAAGAGCATATAAAATTCTTACTTTTTTGGATAAGGATTCTCTAGAAGGTGTCTTGGTGTAGGTCACCGAACCACGCCGCGTAAACGAACTGCTTGCTTTCCGATCCTAAAATAGTTTGCTATGAATTTTGTGAGTAAAAGAAGGAAAAAGATCCTTAATTGAAAATACCAATTTCATTTTCTCCAATCCCAATCGGAAACACATAAAGTAACAATTTTTAAATTTACTCAATTCATCCCAAGTCAGCCATTAACGCTTATTTTCCCCATTTGCTCGGGAACAAAACACAATCAAAAGAGAAGGCCAGAGAGCTGACAATTTACACTGAGAGAGAGAGAGAGAGAGAGAGAGAGAGAGAGAGGGCTTACGATGAGGGACTGAACGAGAGGGACGATCTCGACGAGGTCTTTGAAGAGGACGCGATCGACATTGCTGTTGTGGGTGGTGGTGGTGGAAGAATGAGCGAGTGAGGACTGAGTTGGGGACGAGTTGGCATCCCCTGAAAGCCACGATTTTAGGTCCTGGGCAAAATTACTTGAATTATCTTGCGATTCCAGGAAATTCTGTGCCTCGTACATCCTCTTCTTCTCCGATTTATCTTCTTTTTCGAAAATCAAATTTGAAAAGTTAAGTCGCAGAGAGAGCCGGACGGGGGAAGAGAGAGAGAGAGAGAGAGAGAGAGAGAGAGTGGCACAGTCGCGGACTACGTTTTCAAAATCACTTCTTTTTCAGACAATCGATTTTTCAACGAATATTGATTTTACCAAAATACCCTTGTCATTTAATTGGGGATTCAAAATCTCAAAATGCTCCATGTATGAGAAAAAATATAAAAAGATAAAAAGGATTGGTTTATTTTTATTTTTCATTCATTCTTTTCTTTGTTTTTTTTCGAATTCTAAAAATAAAAATTAAATACAATTGTATTGTTTATGTCTAAGCTTCATCTATATATACCTCAAGAAAATAAGTTTCAAGTAATTAGGCAGGTGCCAACTTGCCAAGTGTTCACTTAGATGCAGCTGAAAGTTGGATGGAAGATCAGCCTTCTTGGCTACCTTCTCTCCTCCTTCTACCTGTTTGTAAATGAAGTTTTTCTTGCCATAAAAATTATTTGCACATTGGGAATGTTTTCTGTTTCAAGAATTTTTTGCTGTTAGTTTTTCTGGCAAAGTCATCTGCAGAAGATTGCTATTAAATGGGAAATTCAATGCAGTCTTTTAAAGTTGCACCTGCTTTTAATTTTTTAGTTAACCCATAAGCAACTGCTTGGTTGCCTAGAAAACTCAAGGAAAAGGAGGAGGGGTAAGTGGCAGATGGTAAATTGCACTTCTATGAAGTAAAAGATAATTAAACCCAAGGACAGATGGACTGTTCCAAAAAGAAAAGGAAAAGAAGATGCCAATGAGACATAACCAAGAAGATTTGTGTTGGCAAAGTGATGACAGTTCAGTTACTAAAGCATCAGTATCTGTTTCATGGGTTTTTAATGCTTTGAACTGTCCTTTTACTATCACGTTCTGACTGTTAGCTTCCTCTAAATGCGTTATATATGACATTGACACTCAACAATCTGAATACTGGCATTTCATGATCTTCATGTCTGTACTATATGCAGGGCAGCAGGGGACAATCAAGAACTTGCTTCATGTTCTCCTGGACTGACAGAGAGGTAGTTCTCATCTACTTATAACCTTATATCTGTCAACTGGAATTTCTATAACTTTTTTTTCTTTTATTGAAAACTAAAGTGGGCATCAAAACATGGATCATTTGTTTGAGTAATCTTCTGGTTTTTCCCTTCTGTTGGATTTAAAAGATTTGGATCTTAATGTATCTAAAGTCAAATCCTTAACTTTAGTTAGTAGGATTTTTCCAAATATAATTCTTTAATAATCACCGGAAAGATGTATAATATATTAACAAGTGTGATCAAAAGTTGCTAGGTAGGTGAAAACACCTGGAAATGTAAACCTCTTCTAATTTGTAATCAAATATATGTCTAAGTAAGTAGTGGCTCAAAACTTGGATTATAAACTTTGGAGATAGAGAAATCATGGTACAAAATGATATTCTGGGTTGTCATTCTTTATTCTCTCCTGCTCATGTTTCCTTCACTTCCACATCTTGACCATAAAAAAGTGAAAGTAGAAAATGGAATCATGGTTTTTTTTTTTGGTAATTAAATGAATATCTTAACCAAAAAGGAAGGCAACATAACCAGAAAAGGTTGACAGAAGAAATTTGAATCATGGTTATGGGATGTTCACCTAAACTAATGGTAACCAAAATTCACAAATTCCCATGTGCCAGGTAGTGCTTATGTGGGAATCTTTGATTAGGGTTGTTATTATAGAAGTTTGCAAATTTAAAAGTTTTCTGCATTTGTTCCTGGTAAAAACTTTCCAAATTATGCCTTTCATCTCTCAAATGTATTTGATGGAAGGAGTTTGTGGTTAAACCAAGAGTTTTCAATCCAATCTGCAGTTGAGCCGTTTACCTCAGTTTCTTTATTCCATCTGTTATGAGCATTCAGGCTTTGCAGGCCTGATCCCATTTTTGCTTGTCAAAGACAGGAAGACTGAAATATATGCTAACCTTGTACGCCAGAAGTTCTGCTTTTCTCTTATTTTTCGTTTGAATAAAAGGTATTTCGTTTCTAACTTCTATCTTAATAATTTTTGCTTGTTCATATAAGCCATAAATTTCTCTAGTATTACGCACCAAAAAGAATTGGTTTGTCTCTCTTGCTCTGTGTCAGGATTTGTACAAGCCCTTTAACAGTTGCTATGGTGAGTTTATGCTTTTTGTTACCGTTTTCCCAATTCCACCACTTTCCTCATCGGTTACCAGAATTTTTTAGAGTTCAAGTTTCTTGACTAATATTCAATGTGGATTTACACAACATAAGTTTTAATTAAAGAAAGAGCTTCTTACTTGCTCAAAGTTTGTTTTCCTGATCTTTAATTTGCTGAAACAAAACCCTGCTCTAAAGTATGCTTCTGTAAATGCAGGTCACCTTCGGATCTGGATTGTTTGGAAACCAGTAGAGAATCTGTTGAAATGGTGGAGTATTCTGTTTCAGCTGAACGAGCAGACCCTCCATAATGACATGCACCTGCCAGGTGAGTAGCAATAGCTGCAATACTAGATGCTTGACCATTTCTAAGTAACAGTTTTTCAGTCTAGGTAGTCTCAATCTATATGCACGAAAATGAAATCGGGGTCAAATTACAAGGATAAAATTTTGATTTCCTTCCAACCCAAGTATACCCTGAAGTTTTGTGTATGAACCTTCTTTCATTTCTTTGCCATTGAATTAAACTAATGCATGTTGCTCCAAATTATGTGTTGTATTATTTCACCCTGTGTCTACCCTTTGGGTAATATGGAACTTAATCTGAGGTGGAAAAAAAACAATCATTCACTTGACACTCATTCTCCGCCAAGGCAGAACAGTTTTGAGGTTAATCATTTATTGTCATTACTGAGCAGGATGTCTGTTTTTAACATGGGAAGCATCATATTGTAACACTCATCAAAGGACTGATTAATACCGAACCTTCTTATAAGTTATAACCAGCACTCAAGAGGGCTCTGTGTGCAAGCAAAAGTGAAAACTCAATTATATATTGCTCAATTTTTTTATGTTACAGATGAAGCCGTTAATTGCATTAAATTAAACTAGACCAGTCTCATTGTTTTCCATTACTAGTAGCTTTTCTTTTGTATCGATTACCAGGAAAATAGTGAATCCATGGATGACCATTCAACTGCGGTCTTCAAGCCTGTTTACAAGTCCTTCAAGTTCAAATGTTCTGAAGCCATAAAAGGGTTGAAGGTAGAAAAGAATGCCGGTTTGAAAGATAATAATGTATTCATTTCCAATTTGAAAAGTGAAGACAGTGAGGTGGTTCCAAATCAACATCCAGATGATAGCCGGAATATGCATGCTGTAAGGAACACCTCGAGAGCAAGTGGTTACATGGATTGGAAGGATTGTGTGGATGGAAATGGCCAACATATCCCACATTATACTTGTACTTGCAGTGACAAGGAGGAGAGTAGGGAAAGAAAGGTTGGCATGGACAATGAATTGCCAGAGCTGGTTGCTTTCCTTCAAGAGAGCAGTAATTACCAGTGTTTTAAGGACATTTGCATTGACAAGGAAGTGCCATCTCAGGAAAAATATTTTGTAGAAAACTGTGAGCTGGACCATAGTCGTATCTCTTGCATACTTGACTCTGATCTGTACAGCAGCAGTGAATCAATTGGAGAAACTTTGGACTCGGAGTCTTCCGTTTCAACTGAGCATGACTGTGACAAGGATGTAAGCGAGCAGTGGGGTTCCAAGAACTTGAAGACTGAAGATGAAAAATATTTTGGAGAAAGTGATGATCATTCAACCAAGAAGACCGTATCTGAAACACTGCTTATAGTTAGACAGGTAAGTCACTAATTATTTCTTTGCTAGAATAAATCCCGTTTAACATTGAAATCTTATTTATTGCATCTTTTAAAAAAAGTCACTAATTTTTTTCATTCCAGAGCCTCCCCACTGGCCCTGGTAAGCTGATGCTCATGAAATAGGGACGGAATTTTTGCAGGCCAATGCTTTTTCCATCCTGTCTTAAATAATTGGATGAGATAATGCCACCGAGGATAATGAACATAATTTTAGCGTTAAGAGCCAATATCAGATGGCAAATCCTACCAACCAGTTGGATTTAATCTCACGCGTTTGGTAATCAATGAAAGCTTTGGGTGGTGTTTGCTTCACTATCACATTTTCATCATTCTCTATAGATTTGCAGACTCCCAGTGCAGATTGGAAAATATCTTAGGCATACTTGCAAAGTTGAATTCTTTGGTTTGGTTTTTATTTATATTTCACATTCTGTAGGGTCCAAATAACGCAGTGTTGGCAAACTCAATGGTATTATCCAAAAGTCAGGCAATTGATGACAACAGCCGCACAAGCAAGGCCTCTGTACGAAGTGACCTGGACGATGCAAGCAGTCTTGGCAAACTCAATGGTATAATCACCATAGATGATGGGAGAGAGGAAATTACACAAAGTGCAGAGTGCCATCCTCCGGACATAGGAAACATGTTCAGGCCTGATTCGTCCGAAGACGGGATGTCAGCATCTGAACCTTGTGCAGGCCTTTTAGCACTCTCAGGAGGAATACCAAGTTGTGGTAGCATATCTCTTCGGTCAAATAGCAGCACAACTAGCTCCCAGTCTTTTGCCTTTCCCATGTAACCTCACTAACCCTACTACTACTGCTTGCTCTTATTTTCTGAGTTTGTGTAATATGTGGATCATAGTTTTTAGCTTTTACATGATGGGCAGATTATCCTCGGAATGGAATGGCAGCCCGGCAAGAATGGGGAAAGCTGACCCGAGACAATTACAGAGACACCACCGCCATTGGGTGATGCGTTTTCTCTGCTGTAAATTCTGAATGTCATATATCTACTTCAATCTTTTTGGCTTGTAAATTAGTTAAGCTTTATGCCCTGCCTTACAGATTATACACATACACATGTTCTGATTTAAACAATAACATCATAGCAGTAATAAATTAAATCCATTAATATTTTGTATTTAGTAAGTAGAGGCCTTGCTGGACATGGGATGAGTTTAGTTCAGATGGTCCTATTGGCATTTGCTTACATGATTTGAAGAGAAATTATGGTTGGGCAACCTAACTGAGTTACTCTGAGAGAGAGAGAGAGAGAGAGATCAACATTGAACAAAACTTTAGAATTGATAATTGAATATGATTAAACGCATACTTGATGCAGTGGGCCAAAACCCCTTTAGTTTGTAGCACCAATTCTGCTAGGGCAACTAGCTAGGGTTAATCCTTAATGGCCTCTTTTGAGGATCATTTAACCAATTCCAATACCATACATTTTGCCCCAACTTTCTGTACCCTCAAATTCTGAAATAGCCAAGCTCCAATGTCAAAGGCTAAAAATGTTTGGTTGAAACTAGAAAGTCCTGAATAGGGCAAACATACATAATGGTGCACTCCAAGTAGGGAAGTCAAGAAGATCGATCGGTCACAAAACAAAGGTCCACAACCATGACAGCCATCTGCCCAACTGTGAGAGGGTTCCAACTTCAAACGTGAAGTCAAAATCCATTGGGGGCAGGCAGCGCAGCATGGTCCATATAGCCCATTGAAGTCTTTAATGGCGATTCTTTATGGCAAAACCCATAGGCAAGAAGAAGGGAGCATGTTCCGTCTTCAACAAGTCACATCTTGATCATTTGGCCTAAAGTTATGGTGGTTTGCCATGCCCATCAGCCAATGCTTGCTTGGACCAGGGCAGTTTGCACATGCATAGCAAGCAATGTCGCTCATCCCATCTCATCTCATCATCTATGAGGGTTTCGAACTTGGGTGTTAGGGATTCGGGTTTACTATCTTGATCAAATGGCCTAACCAACGCCTTTGTTAAACACTTAGGCTTAAACATTAAAAAATCACTAGATAAAAATTTATGAAAAGAAGAAAGGTTTCAAATAATCGCGAATGTGATGCGATGACGAGATTTCAATGTCTAGCCATTAAGAAGACGTAGAAACAACACCAACAAAAATTGATGGCAAAAAGATGAGATTTAGATTCAGTGAGACCCAGTCATCCAATGAGATACTATCCAAAACCAAATTGTCCGTAGACTACCAAAATAAATAGCTTCATCATGAAAGCTAACCAGTAGATACTTTGTCCCAGAAGCTTTGTTAATTGGTTTTCCATCTTTATCAGCCCTTTGAAGTTTGAAGAAGTAGTAGTCAGGTTAGGCTGTCCAAAGGTGCACTTTTCAGCTTCAATCCGACCCCAAAAACTTGCTCTTATTATCAGAAACAGGAGAGCGACCTAAGCTTTGTTAGTTTAATATGATTGACAACATGCTTAGTTAGCCTAACCAAGACATTAAAAGGTTAATATTTTTTAATTATTAATTCTGCTGCGCTGGTTGTGTTGTTGTGAGAGTGAGAGTGGGATCTCAATTCAATCATTCGTTTTCATTTGTAACTTGCTTGAGGCACACGGACCACCGAATCCGTGACTCATGTCACCGAGTCATAGGCCACTTCTGCACTTGCCATCTGGACCCCACTCCACTCACTCACTCACTCACTACTGGTAATAGTATTAGTATACCCCCTTTTTTAACCAGTCCCCACCAACCCACCCAACAAACCAAAATGCCGGTCCCACCAGCACATAGTATCCACGTCGTCATCATCAACTGATCATCCCCCTACCACCACCATCTTCTTCACACACCAACATGCACATGTTCGTATGTCTATCCAACCCCAACCCCAACCCCACTTCAACCCCATCCACCACTCATCATCACTTCAAGTTGTCAGTGGCTCTGAATAATAACATCACAGTAGAGAGGAAGGAGAAGAAATACTTCTCTTTTTTATGCGGAAAAACGGAAATTACAAGTAAAACCCATGCGGGAGAAATACTTCCATATTTTCGTTTTATTTTTCCCGTCTCTTTCCTTGTCTAATACGTTATATAGATTAGTAGATTAATAGAGAAAAGAGATAATGAAACGGGGGTATGTATGAAATGAAAGTTTTGCTGGAGGAAGAGCAGAGCCAGGACAAACCGACCTTCCTCAGCGCCTGGCCCATCCCGCAAGCCCCACGTGGCCACTGCCATTATAGTCCATGCCCCCACCCCTCAACTACGCCACGTGGACTCATAATCGCGCATGGGACTGCTTCCGGATCCACCTGGGCCCCACCACCCAATTCCTAACCGACCCTCCCCAGCAAGCACTCCCCGCGCACTGCTGCCCACCCACCTCGTCCTCCTCCTCCGTCCACACTCGATCAACCCCCCCACCCCAACAACACAAAAAAAGATAAAAAGAAAAGACTTATTATCACAAAACGTCCCTAAGGTTTACAAAACTATCAGATTGCATCCTTAATGTTTTTTTGTGTCATTCATGGTCCTCAAGGTGAGTATGTGTAATCACAAATGGTCCCTGCCGTTAGGTTCCGTCAAAAACTCTGTTAGTTTGCTGGCGTGGCATGTATATATATCACAAAACATCACTGAGGTTCACACATCTATCACAAATGGTCACTGGGAAATTTTTTAATTTTTTAATTTAAAATTAATAAAATTTTAGTTTTCTTTTTTATATTATTTAAAAATATATATTGTATTTTAAATACATATGGCACTATATTTTTGAAGATGTGGACTCCACATATATGCCACATCAACAAACTAATGAAGTATTTTAAAAATAATTTAAAATTCATAAAATTTAAAAATGAAAAAATCATTTATAGATGGATTTTAACCTTGAGGACCATTTATGAACCCTAAACCTTTGGTTTTTTCATTTTTAAATTTTATGATTTTTAAATTATTTTTTAAAAACTTCATTAGTTTGTTGATGTGGCATATATGTGGAGCCCACATCTACAATAATATAGTGTCATGTGTATTTAAAATACAATATATATTTTAAAATAATTTAAAATTCATAAGATTTAAAAAAGAAACCCAAAATTTTATGAATTTTAAATTAAAAAAATTTGCAGGGACCATTTGTGATAGATTCGTGAACCTCAGGGATGTTTTGTGATACATATATATGCCACATTAGCAAACTAACAAAGTTTTTGATGGAACCTAACAGCATGGACCATTTGTGATCACACATACTAACCTTGAGGATCATGAATGACAAAAAAAAACATTAAGGATGCAATAAGATAGTTTTGTAAACATTAGGGACGTTTTGTGATAATAAGCCAAAAGAAAATATCTCAGCTTAATCACTTCACTGTTAATCATACAACAATGACGTGGCACCCCCTTAAGTGTGCTTATTTGAATGCAAATATGAATAAATTAAGTGTGATTAGTTAGCAATTAACTAACCACACCACACATGAGTTAACAAAACAGAAGAAGTGATCATTCATAAGCCAAACGGATAAGACACTATAATATTTCTCTCTATATATTTGATTCATTCAAAGGCCAGATACAAAAAGAACCCCTCAAAAAGAAAAAGCAAAGATTAAAAATGAAAACTAACATGAAGGTTAGTTGCAAATGACCCTCAAGAGGCAAAGAGTAAACCCAGCAAAAATAACACCTTCCAAATCATCACATTAATTAAACCCCCCCGAAAAGAAAAAATATATATGAAATTTACATACATACAAGAGCAGAGCAGTTATATATTCATAATTTTATAAAAACTCCTCTTAAATTCCAATTTCTTTTGAGATTCTCCATTTTCTTTTTATAAAGGAGAATGGATGGTTAATTAGAGTGAGAGATTTTTACGGGAGGTAGAGCGTAGGGTGGTCTTGATCAGTCCATTGACTCTGACTCCAATATGCTTGATCAACGGTGTTAGGAAGATCAAACAAACCTTGATCCCCTGAACCCGCTTGCCAATCTAACGATCCAAATACTCCTCCTCCTCCTCCGCCGTTGGATCTGCCATTGAACACTGATAAATCCACCTGACCCGTCTGATCCATTAATCCCCCACTCATCTCCTGCATCTTCAATTCCTCGCTCTGGTTCTGCTGAGCCCATTGATTCTGATGATGCCCTTGCGCTTGCTGATTCACCCTAAACGGCGAAACCGAAGCATCCGTGACGCCGATGTTACCGAAACCAAACGGCAAGTCGTTGGACGACGTGATCAGGCTCGTGAAGCTTCCAATCTCCGAGAACATTCCATTCATCTCCGTACTCTGCTCAACCAACGCTGCGGCAGCACCAGGCTCGAAACCACCGCTTTGAGAACCGAAGAATTTCGACTCCTGACGATGAATATTACTCAACAGGTTGGAAGCCGAACTAGTCGAAGACGGCGCTGAAACCGCCTCCGTGGCCGTCGCGACGGCTGCGGCTGCGGTGGTTGTGTTGGTGAGGCTAGAGCTCTCGCTGCTCGAATGAGAGCTGGCTTTGTGCTGATCAGTAGCACTGTTCGGCTGCGGCGGCGGTGGCGGTGGCGATGAGGAGGACGAGGATTTGGGCTTGGAGCGTTTGGTTTTGCGGCAGCCGCCACCAACGGGGACGTTGCGGAGGACGCCGCCTTTGGTCCAGTAGCGGCGGCAGGACTTACAGAAGTGGCGGGGCTGAGAGAGGTTGTAGTTGTTGTAGTAGCAGAACTTGGTGTTGAGAGAGTCGCACCTTGGGCACTTCAAGGCCTGCTGGTTCGGGTGGTGGTGGGGCCTCAGCCGCCTATCTCCTCCTCCTCCTCCTGAGCCTGCGAAGAACCTCGCTCCTCCCACTGAATGAATGTCTTGCATTTCAAGTACTAAATATAATGTAGAATTGGATTATATACCCACTCAAGTTTTCTTATAAATTTGATGAATTGCTGAATTTTCCTCCTGCCCACACTCTGTCTGTTTTTCAGCAGTTGTTCTGTGTGCGATGCAAAGTAGGAGAGGGAGATAGAGATAGAGTGCGCGTGTGTGTGTGTGTGTGTGTGGGAGAAGAAGAGAAGTCGGGGAATTGGAAAGGAAGAATAAGTTGTAAGCTGCGAACACCGACAAATATCCCCCGCACATATCTTCCAAACTCTTTCTATTTTATCGAAAATTACCAAATTCGCCCTACGACACACGCAAATGACAGTATGACACTGACCAATGTTTTATAGCGCAAGAAAAGACGCCAATACCCTCCTGAATAATATCCCAAGTGCTGCTGCTGAAATTGAACTTGAGGTTGAAGAGGTTTCGTTCCTACTTTGGTTGGACCAGGGAGGGAGGACCCGAAACGGACGAACGTGGGAGAGGAATAAGATCGAGCCGTTGGTGGAGGACGCGTGGACGGGTGAGATGGGGGAGGGTCTGGGAAGTGAGATGGTCGCTTTGTCGGCCACACTTATTTGATCGGCTGAGACATAAGTGGTGGAAAGCGCGCCACGTTGCTTATTGTTACTGGGTGCGTTGTCGAAAGTACGTGGAGGTTACTGTGTGATGTATCTGACGTGATGTTGTCCGTGTACAGAGACTTGAGTGTTGGGTTGTCTAGTGTGTGTACGGTGTACCCTTCCATACTAAATTATATTTTAGGCTTTCTCTTGATCATTGCATGCAAGATTCATTTTTGATCATGCATCAAGTGATTGGATTAAGTTGTATAATTTGTAGGGCGATAAAAGGGGTTGTGTCTTATAATATATCAAAATGGCTACAAGGCTAATTATAGCTTAAGATTATCAACAAGGTTTTGATGTTGTTACAATTCATACATGTTTTTGACAAAATGTTGATATTTTATTTCTATCATATCAAAGACTTAGACTAGATGAAATTATTTGTTTTCGATATACTGATTGACTGGTTGCGGGTCCTTTGTATCATGGACCAGAGCTACTTGGGTAGGGATTGATGAACATCATTTGGACAAATCGAGTGTAATATCGACAATTTATGATTTTGATATCGCTATAATGTGATTATTTGTTATAGTAATAGTGACATTTGAAAGTATTTCCAATATAATTAAGCGAGACACATGTATGCTAAAGAATGGTAGAAAATCACACAAATTTCAAGTTTTTATTATTATTGCTAAGATTAGACACACAAGTTTCAAGTTTCATAAATACACATGAATGTAACGAAATAATCACCAAATTCGTGTACAAAGTAATGAAAAACAAAGAATTACTTTCCCATTTATCAAAAAACTTAACAAATTATTTGACAAAGACATGAACCAACCCTCAACTCTCAAGTTTGAATTCATCGAAACCCAAGTCATACATGGCCAATTAATAAACTAGGGAGGCCTCCTCCTACAGCTGCAAAATTAAAATTATTGCTGAAATGGTGAATTGGTTATCTGCTGTTGATGTTGCAAAGGGAAGAAAGAAACAATGTTTCATATCATGGCCCCCCATGTACGGTTGAAAATCAACTGCCATTTGACTGTTTTTGGAGCGGAATTCAAGCAGTGGAGCCCAATGTCTTAGTCAACAATACAACTTACAACTTACAACTTACAAGCAAGCAATTGTCAAAATTGTCACCGCATCGCATCGCACCAAGTAGACATTTTATTATTCTAGCTTCGGGCCTCCATAAAACTGTTTTTTTATTTTGGCGAGCCAGTGTCACTAAGACTAGAGAGCACCCAATAATATTTTTGCTCATGACTCCAACGAAAGACACTGATCCAAAAATGTGGGTCACAACAACAAGGATGGTGCAATGGTGCAATCCAACAAAATTATATAAATGGTGTTTGTGACAGAAATATAACGAAATGAAAGGAAGGATCAATGTGCATGCGCCCATTAGAGGAAAGAAAAATAAGAAATGTATCGAGTACAATTGAAGGGTTCAACTATAATAATAATAATAATAATAATAGAATAAATGGGATGAGAGAAAATGAAGTGAAAACAATGGCATCGATCATTGATTGTGACTGGTTTGAGTGGAGGGAGAGTGAATAGGTAATATGATGGAAACAAACAGCTTCACATGCACATGGGACGGTGGTGGCCCTCCGAATTAGGTCTTCTGGTATTTGTCCACATCTCTCTCTCTCTCTCTCTATAAATCAATTTTACAAAGAAGCTACATGCATGATGCCTGGCTGGCTTAGGCTACTAAGCTACGTATACATGAAATCTACACACATCCTTGTTTGAGAGTGGAAGTGGAAGCAAAATTAGGTTAAATTGGGGTCCTCCTCCTTCTAAATTTGGGCACCTTTCACAATCCCTAAGATTGAAAAAGATACGGTGTTTCATTTCATTGGCTCTTCTTTCTTTTGATTTTGTACCATTTTTATTTCAATGGTACTTGTCAATGTCCTCCTCCACTCTCTCTCTCTCTCTCTCTCTCTGTACTAAATAAATTGACAATGCCACCAACTTTGGGCTCAGCTCCTTCCTATCAACCTATCATATGTGCTGATTGGGGCCCAGCCCAGCCCAGCCCAGCCCAGCCCAGCCCATTTCTAAACCCAATAACCCATCACATAAACTTTCTTTCTCAACCTTCCCCTACTTGGCTGCTTCCCTCCTCTTGTTTTTCCTTTTTAGGGAAATGTATCTCATCCAAATTACAAAGAACAATCCCCCAACATCCCAAGGCCACTCATCTATACATAAATTTTTACTCGTTTGGTGGCCCGGCTTGAATTGGATTGGAGTTGAATCCAAATCAATCATTATGAATTTAATAAGACACAATATGTTGAACTGTTGTTCAATTTACTAAGTCCAATCTCAACACATCAAATTCTAATTATTAAAACTCTCCTACCATTCCTTAAAACTGCCATTCCCAATGTGAGATATGCATCATTGAGGTCTTGCTTTTGATCCAGAATGTTTTCCTTGTGGCGTGTGCTTCTGGTAAGGAATTACATACATGGATTGTTCATTATCATTGGGGTCCGCCCCAAACCCAGGCCAGCCTTTTGCTTTGTATTATTATTTTGCGTCTCATCCTGCACTTTTAGAATTCAATAACAATTTGGGCCCACCTTCTCTTCATTTATCATAACGTATTCACAATTTCCTTTTTATAAATTGACTCTTCAATTTTCCTTTAAATAAAAATAAAAATTCTAACCAATTTACCTCATTTCGATTGATTGATATATATATTGGTGTTAGAAAATGAAATCTTAAGGGGGAATCGAACATGACTGAAATGAGAGGTCAGAGACAAATCCAGTGGTCAACATTTTGGTCCCCATATGTCCACATGACAGCAACAAAAGGCAAGTGATTGTCTCTTTGTACACAAAGCCAATTTCTATGAACCCTAATAATAATAATAAGATCCCAACGTCACATCTCGAAGATATTAATATTATATGATTTAACACATACAAATACGTCCCAACAACCACTTTCCAACGCACTTTCATTTCATGTCACTCTCACGTAATCCTAATCCCCAGCTAAATCTAAGCTTAATATTCATGTTCATGGCCAATTACACATACAACACACGTCCCAACAAATTAACTTCTCAAAATGCATCATTATTTTTAGAGTCTTAATGCTTCATCACGCCTAATTATGCAACTTGTAATTATTGTTTGATTCTCTATAGGTTACATCAAGAAACAAAAATATCAGCATGTGACATATCTTATACAAAATATCAAACAAAAGTACGTAGATTATACGATATGCATGTGATATCATCACACCCATTACATAAGAATGAATTGGCGTTACCCAACTGGCCTTAAATTAGATTCATTTAGATTATCGCTTGTAATTTTTTTTAAAATTCATTCCTTAATATTTGTTGGGCTGGCTAGCTTCAAAGCAATTTGTAAGCAAATGGATCTGATCACATGCAATAAGCAATTTGTAAGGCCCGATTTTTAAATCTAATGCCTGGCCCCAGATTTGTTTCTTCTTATTGAGTTCTGACCAATACGAACAAAATACTTTGGGCCCAAGCACCGTTCCTATATAGAAAGACGCCCACCACCTCCTCCTCCTCCTCCTCCTCAATCTGCAAAGTCAGTCTAGTCTCCTCAGCCAGGTCGTGGGCGGCATGTGTTCACAAGTCCCAAGTACAATGCCTCTCAAAACTGCTGCCGGTGGTGGCGGAGGCGGAGGCAGTCCTACACATATGGATAACGAGGATGTGATTTTAAATAATTTTATCTAGTATTATCTCCAAATCCACCTCTAGTTGTATCTCCAAATCAAAATATAATCCCACTAATATTGTTTATATCAAATTGGATCCCCTCTCGATCAATGCCTACTTTGGTAATGATGTTTATATCTAACTCCTTATTTAATTTTTTTATTTATTAAAAGGATATTTAAATCTCATGACTGTGGCACAACGAATACTATATATTTAACCAAAGAAAATAAATAAATAAAATCCAAGGAAATTGAGCCCCGGTTAAAAAAAAAATTATTGGGGCCCCATCTCCAAATCTACAAGTTTTATGTTAAAAAAACTTCAAGCAAGCGGTATTCCTCTGAAATTACAAGTTTCTAGTTGTATATTTGATGGGATAGTATTCTGTTTCCATTTTGAACTGAGATTTGTGATCCATCTTTTCTTCATGCACGGGGAATTCAATTTGAAAACAACACAACTTATATTCCAAATAAAAATAAAGTAATGACCCAAAAGGAAATTAATTGCCTTTTTTCTCATACACCTTGTTGCGCAAGTCAGGCACGCTTCGATGATCGATCCTAGAACTAGAATCAATAAAAAAAAGGCTCACAATCTGTCAACCAGCACTCTTATTAATATTTCTCCAACAAATTCGTTGAAAATTCCGTACGATTTATACAATTTGATGTCATGAAAGCAGTGCAGGTTAGAATCATCTCTGTCCTAAACGCATGCCGAAACCATGGCCTCACAAGAATGGCTCCTACAACTTCAACTTCAATTCTTGTTGGCCCTCCACGGTTCAAACCACACAGCCCCCCGCCGCCTCAATCCCAAGTACCCTTTCTACCCCGACCCTTTTTCACTCCCTCCCCTTACAGTAACTACTGCCTCGATCTTTTCTTTCACGTGGTACCAGAAGAAGACAGTGGCACCCTTGCCTCCCATGAACGCCTGAACCAAATGCTTCACTTGGCCTGGTTCAAGAACCCCCTAACTACGGTTAAGCTCATCTGCAACCTACTGGACAGGCGTGGTTATGGTGGAAAAGACGACAGAGACAGCTTCTACACGGCGGCGTTTTGGCTCCACCGGCACCACCCCAAGACCCTAGCCTGCAACGTCGCTTCTATTGCCTCTTCGTTCGGGTCTTTTGACGACCTTACCGAGACTCTGTACCGCCTTCTGTATGGCCAGGACGTGAGAAGGAGGAACCAATCTGAATCAATTGACGGATTTCGGGTCAGAAGAAAAGGCAGCAACAGTAAAGTGCTTAGCTGCCGTAGGCTTACTCCCAGAGAGGTACGGGTCATGAAGGCACTGGAGAGGTCAAAGTTGCAAGAGGAAAAAGCCAGAGCCTTGAGGAGAGACAAGGCCATGGCCTTGGCCAACACGGCTATTGAGAGGTACCAAAACGACCCGGATTATCGATTCTTACATGATCGGATTTCGGATGTTTTCGCAGAATGCTTCAAGTCTGATATTCAAAACTTGAACAAGGAGAAGGATGCCAATTATGATCGTGATCAGGACTGCTTGGAGTTAAGCTTGGCGGCCGACTATTGTCCTAAAATGGGCTCCTCCATGGACTGCGCCACCCTTCTTTGTGAAAGCATTGCCAAAAAGGTTTTCCCGCGAGAATTGTACCCTGAATACCAAGGCATTGAGGAGGCGCATTACGCATACAGAGTCCGCGACAGGCTGAGGAAGGAGGTTTTGGTGCCGTTGAGGAAGGCCTTGGATGTAGCAGACTATCATGCAGGTGCCAACAAGTGGGGTTATAATCCGGATTTCAAGCGAGAGCCCTGTGCAGTAAAGAAGTATTTGGAGGACGTGAAAGCGGGCGGCGAATCCAAGATTAGAGTCGATGCCCTGTTTCCTCATGAAATCATGCGCTATGCCAATCATCCTGATGTTGGGGAAAGTGCTGAGCTTCAATGGAAGGCAATGGTGGAGGACATGAGGATGAACAAAGGCATGAATGTACTGAACAAGTGCATTGCTGTATGTGACGTCTCGCCAGCCATGACTGGGCGTCCCAGGGATGTGTCCGCGGCTTTGACACTAATGATGTCTGAACTGAGTGAAGAGCCATGGAAAGGGAAGGTGATCACGTTCAGCGAGTCGCCTCAGTTGATAGCAATACAAGGCGGGGATCTCAAGTCCAAGCGGGAGTTTTTGAGGAACATGGGATGGGGCTACCACACTACATTTTCAAAGGTGTTTGACTTGATTCTGGAAGCGGCTGTGAATGAGAAATTGAAGCCAGAGCATATGATAAAGAAGGTGTTTGTGTTAACCAGCTACAGTTTCTTGGAGCGGGGTTTCGATGATGATAGCTGCTGGGAGAGTGAGTATGAGGCAATACGAAGCAAGTTTAAGAAGGAAGGGTACGGGGATGTGGTACCACAGCTTGTGTTTTGGAATCTGAACCTAGAAGAGTTGTATAAGCAAGTGCGTAGTGAAGGAGAATGTCAAGAACAAGAAGGGTTATCGATGTTTAGCTTCGTCAACGACAATTTGATCAAGTCATTGTTGGAGAATGATGGGAATATTGGGTTGGAGCATGTCATTGCAGCAGTTATCTCTGGGCAAGGGTATCAGAGTCTGGTTGTGGTGGACTGATGACGACTGATATCATATATACTGTTAGAACTAATTAATTAGATTGTTTCCTAACCTTTGCTAGCTAGCTAGCTACTGTGTGTGTATCAAAAACTAATGATTAATTGGAGTTGTGGTTTTACTTACTAGGTTTGTTGTTTTTGTTTCCCCTGTCAAGTGCCAAGGAAGGAGGTAGCTTTGTTAATTCTCTCACAAAACACAATAAGGATTGAAATTGAACTTAAAGGAGAAGAAAAATAAAAGAACAAGTAATGTTGGGTTTGTGAATCAGATGACAAACAAATGATAAAAACAGGGTTGCTGTTGCTGAAAAGTGTTCTGACTTTACTCATCTTTAATAGTCTCTGCCAGCCCTTAAGTTATGGCCTTGTGGAATGAATGTTAGTGATGGTAATCATCCTCTTCTTACATTACAATGGTCTGAACTCTTCCCTGCTGCTGCTGCTGCTGCATCTGTGGATGTATACTTTTTTTCTTCTTTCTTTCTTTAAAGTTGATAAATAAAATAAATTTTTATTAATTTTTAAAACAAGCATGAGCTTAATGAAGCCCAATAAGTCTGCTGTCTCAACTCAAGGAGGGTAATCTAATCTAATCACAGTCGAATCCAAACAAATGACACCCGAACTGATCATCTTGCTCTGGGTTGGTCTCCCTCTAGGAATAGGAATTGGAATTGAGTAGGATGTTGTCTTGTTAAGAAACATAGTTGAAATTGAATTCCACATCTTAACTTAAATCAAGTGCCAAAAATAAAGTGTGTTGGCTGGGATGCAATTAATGAAAATATCATAAAAATCCACAAGGAAATTAGTGTCCTGTTTTGTTCTGTATCGTGTTAACCTAGGTAACACAATCCTTGCGGCACAAGTTACTCCTTACTTGTTTTATAAAGAGATGAAAAAGGCTCTCCTTTTCTCGTCATTAATCTGTGTCTTGTGTAGTCTGTAATTTCTTCAACAAATAACAAATTGAAATTGAATTGATGGTGCAGCAAATCATCGTCTCAGTTCTGAAAGCATGCCGCGGAACACGAAACCAGGTCGGAGGAGGAGGCATTTATAATTTACAACTGAAAACTTTTGCAACTCTTGCTGGCGGAGGCGGAGGGGGAGATTCTCCTCATCTACAACCCAAACCCAAACCAACAACGCCATCAAAAAAAGCATCCAAGATAGATATGCTTAGAATGGCGAGCATGAGTTTGGTGGAGTCTGTGGAACAGTTAATGAGATTTGATAAGATTTATGTGGTGACGGGCAATGACACAACCAATGTCCAAATGATCAAGCGCAATCACCGCTGGCCAGGAACTCATGTCATCATGCATACCGATACCAACCCCGCCGAGATGTCCAAAATTAAGAAGGCAGCTCGCGAATGCGGCCTCGAACCCAAAACAGCCTCCCATTGGGGAGAAGAATATGAAGAAGAAGTCTCTTCGCTTGTCTAGGTTAATTAGCTTGCCTCTTCCTCTAATTACTTTGTTTGTATACTCTGTTACTATTAACTGCCGCCTAATTTCTTGTTTATTTGACTCAAATTTATTATCTTACAATTTGCTCGATAATGATATATATACACACAGCGGCGGAGCCACTCCTAGAATTTGTAATAAAACAACTTATAATTTAAGTTAAAATTCCCTCTAAAACAAATTAGACATGACTAAATTATAAATATTTAGCTCTAAACATGTAACTAGTGAATACTTATGTACTTTATATATACTTGTATTTTCTACTTCGGCCCCCTAACTTTACGATCTAGTTCCACCCCTGTATAATAATATACACATAACTTAGCATACATACATAGAGTACCTTACACTTTCTAATCTTGTGATATTTTTGTTTAAGTAGTGAAAGGATTAGCAATTAAGTTGCCAGCTGATTTGTGTTGAACAAGGCATGAAAATAAAATGGAAGTATGACATAAATACCTCACCAACTCCTTTACCTAAGACCTACTCTACTCAACAAACAGATGCCTCACCTCACATACATTGATTTAATATTAGCTGAAATAATTGTTAAGGGAATTATAATGGTAGCTAATGAATCAATGCGCTGCCATTCTTCTGAATAGAAATAGATGCGAATGCCTCTAACATCAATGAAGATGTTCATTATTAAGAGAGTATATTTCCTTCCCGGTATGGCAAGTTCATCATGACCTAACAATTTATCTCCTCAACCAATAACCACATCATTGAAGAAAAAAATAATGCGATGGATCTTTGTCAATGTTTCGAATGAATAATAAAGTACGTTTGGCATGAAAAGTAGACTTCAGTATATATATATGGGATGCATCCCATGTGAATGTTCATAATTGTAGAGAAACCTTATTATAAATATTAAAAGAAGGATGAGGCATGGCAATGGGAATAAAAGTAGGAAGAAACTAAAAACCAATGTAACACGGTCTTATAAATGCGCTTATTATTTGTTACTAAGTATCGCTCGCTCATATGAATGGGAATGCTTCTCTAAAAATACAACTAGACTATGAAATATTTATTTCCTTATGTGAATGTGAAAATTGACATTCCCTCCTTAATGGAATTCTAACTAACATTATTAATTTGGTTGTATGATATGACGTTACATAGTGAAGAATATGTCAATAGTCAAAGCTAGATGAAGGAGAAGGAGAAGGAGAAGGAGAAGGAGGAGGGGAAGGAGGGGAATTTAAACCCAGAACTTTAGGTTGGAATATTTCGATGATTTTTGGCAGTTGATCTTGCTCCTTGTGAGCATAATACCGTGCGTGATGGCATGCACAAAACTTTGCTGCTTGCTGCTGATATATATCTCTGGGCAATGTGCGCACCATGCCACCCCATCCACGATTTATAAATGGTGGGTCAAGTCAACCACTGAAATTTCCAGACATTAATAAATTTATTTATTTCCAAAATGGTGGAAGACACTAGAAGGAAGAAGAGAACTATACCCAATAGCTAGCTTGAAAATCTAAGTGGTAACTATACCCAATAGCATAATGTAATGGCTTTTACTAGAGGTAGCTTTCTAATACCCATATAGACAAGGAAATTTAACCACCACACTAAGCCACCCCCCCCATCCCATCTCATCCCACTTCTTTTATGCAACTTCTTCATCATTCATCCACTACACTTGGTCTAGATGCTTGTTTTATTCCAATGTCCATGACATTATTTATTTCTGCACTCGATGTCTTAATTAGGTTCGATTTTTCTTCATTCAACATCCTCTTATGTAAAATATAAAAAAAAAGTGAATGAGATCCTTTCAACCATTCCAACATTTACTAATAATAAATAAAATAAAGACTTTTCTGAAATGATATGATTATATGTCCATTTTCATATTGACCCATTTGTGTACATATGCAATTCATTTAATTTAATGTTACAATTAAGAAGATCCTCCCCACCCACATTGACCAACTGGGTATAAATTATCTACCAACCTTCAAGTGAATGCATATTAAAACCAAAGTGAGTTATATAACCTTTCACAAATGAATAAAATTCAACCACAATGCTATATCTTATTGCTTAAAACATTCCTGTATGTCACTGAAAAAATTAATTTGTTAATTTTCATAACAAGATTAGGTAAAGGAAAAAACACCACTAACTTTAAAATAAAATAAAAATTGTATTTTGCTTTCTAGAATGAAATGACTGAATTCACTTTGAACGAGTTGAGTTACTGTCTGGCTGACTGAGTATGGAGAAATTGGATCCACTGCGACATATCATCACAAAGGTCTATGTTTCTCCCAACTCATCTACTACATCTAGTATTTTGCTTTCTAGAATGAAATGACTGAATTCACTTTGAACGAGTTGAGTTACTGTCTGACTGAGTATGGAGAAATTGGATCCACTGCGACATATCATCACAAAGGTCTATGTTTCTCCCAACTCATCTACTACATCTCCAACCAACACGCTCCACCAACACCGAGACACGTGTTACACAACACCGCCAAAGCCCGCGACGGGCGCGTGCAACCTTTCCGCTGTACACTGACAATATACTTACAATCGGTCCCATTCAGAGCAACCATGGAGCCCACAGTACGGAACGCGTCCTGATCGCGACACGTGTCCCGACATCCGCATCTCAGGATATGCGCACCATCGGACGGCTTTTCCAAAAGCGGACGTCCTGCCGTGGCGCCGTTTACACGGCACAACCGACACTCAGACGGAGCGTTTGCCACTAGGCTTAGGGTGCCATCAGTCCAAAAGTAGCAAAGTAGTCGCTGTTCTTGTCGCCAAAATACCGTCCCACTCTCAAACGAGAAGCTTTGGAATCTCAAACCATTGTCAGCGATTAAGAACCAAAGAACATCGTGATTAGAGCCCCTTAATCATACTTAATCATAGACTTAAATTGTTAAAGCATTTATTATCAACTCCAGGTGGGGAACCGGCGGAACGAGAAAGCCAAACTTATCGCGATATATTGTCGGCGTGTCGATACGAGAACAAACGGACTGCGACCGAAACGGGGACAACGAAACCACAATCGGATACGGACTTCGCTAAAATCCATGATCTCGTTCTCGACGTGTCAAAGATCAAGGGCCTGATGGGAGACACGTGTTCAAAACATAATTGGAGTGGGGCCGGACGCATCGGCCATGTAGCTGGCTATCATTTATTGGAGGCTTTGTGCACTTTAAAGTAACACACAAACACACACACGAAGCCCAAACCCTCTCTTCCTCCTCCGAGCCCACGCAAACCGTCGGTGCACGTCACGCACACCCCATCACGCGTTTTTTGTTTTTCTCTGCATCGCACCACATCGCATATGATGACAACACCGCCTACTCCACCACTGCTCTCTTTCCTCCATCTCTCTCTCATTTCTTAGCGATCTTCTTCTAATCGCCGGCCAACGCTCCGGCGACTCTTCTCGCCGGAGAATACGGCGGATCTGGGTGGGGATTCCACCTCGCATTTCGAGTTCAATTGCCCCGGCTCTGGAAAGGTGGTGTTGTAGCAAATATCAGAGCTTTCAATTTTTGTTTCTTTTCTTCTTTTGAGCAGTGTTGTAGGAAAATAGGGTTATTGATGCAATTGTTTGAGGGAATCTTCGAAAGTGAGAGTTTTGGTGGAAATCTTTGAGGACGGGTGGGGAATGTGGTGAGTATTGCCTCAGTTTTGGAAATCGGTTTCGGATCTTTGCTGGTTTCTATATATAGCAAGAGCTTAAAAAGGAATGCCATTTTTTTGGATCCGACATTGAGCAATACGCCCCGTTTCGTTGACTGCTTGATGTTGTAGAAGGAAGAGAGATACACAGATTGATGTGCAAGATAGAGAAGAAGGAGAGAAAGGGAGTGATGGGATTCAAGGTGTTAGGAGGAGGAGGAGCAGACAAGTTCAAGAACTCGATGCTCGTCACGACGACGTCGTCGCCGTCGAGGTCGAAAATGAAGCTGTGGATGATACGGGCAACGACGTCGGTTTTGTTGTGGACGTGTATTGTACAATTAACGGCTTTGGGGGATATGTGGGGGCCTAGGGTTTTGAAAGGCTGGCCTGCTTGTTTCTCTCAGGAGTCTGCTGCCGCCTCTTCTGTTTTGCAAGACAAGTTGCCTTCCGTCCCGGCCAGAGCTCTTCCGCCCAAGAGTGAGTTTTTATTTTCTAATTTGCCAGGAAATTGGTGGTATTTTTCAGTTATTTCGATGTGGGTTCTTGTAATTATTTTACTAATTACTCCAAGGGCAGTTGTGTTGCTTTTGGATGTTAATTTTATGGGTAGGTTCAACTGGAACTATGCTCGGCCTGTTGTTTTTCAGATTTTCTGAATCCAACCCATCACTTGAGTGTGTGTGTGGGTGTGGTGCGAACTTGTACTTAGTGTCCAAAGCTTCGCAGTTGCTCTGGCTCCAAAAAATGCACATGGAGGTAGAAACTTGTAATTCAGAAAGCAGCTGGTTTCAAGCTACTGTTTAATACAGGCGAACCGATGCTATCCCAAGTTATCACCATACATGGTGATATTGCTTAAATTACGACAGTAAATTTTCCCATTTTGTTTGCCGTTTCTAAGATATGTTCAAATCATGAAGTTTACTCTCTTACATGCCAGACTGTAGAAAATTCAATTCCTATGAAGTAGTAATTACATTAGTCTGTACCATTTTCATCTCTGTCCTGACTTTCTATTGGTTGGCCTTTTCTTATGCTTTGGCTTTGTCATTTGAATGATTGTTTAATTGGCCTCTAATCTGAATTTGTTTTGTTGCCATTAGGGGTTTATAAAAACAATGGCTACCTGATGGTTTCATGCAATGGGGGACTCAATCAAATGAGAGCAGCGGTGAGTGGCTAGCAATTGTTTGCTGTGCATATTAACACTAGTTCATCCTTGGTGATCAAATTACTTTACTTCTTAGTGCATGCAGCTGCTTACCAGTTTCAATTTTTCTTTCTTGGTCGTGATTTCTACAGATATGTGACATGGTTGCTATTGCAAGATATTTGAACGTCACTCTCATTGTCCCTGAGCTTGATAAAACCTCCTTTTGGGCTGATCCCAGGTGTGCCAATATATCTCTCCTACCATTTTCAAGTCATTGAGTGTTTTTTAAATTATAAAAGGATGGTTGTTTTTCTTCGACTCAGTATTACACCACTTCTTACCAAATAATGGTTATATGTTTCTTGATATTGCAGCGAGTTCCAAGACATATTCGATGTGGATCATTTCATCACATCCTTGAGAGATGAAGTTCGCATATTGAAAGAGTTGCCTCCGAGGGTTAAGAGGAGAGTGGAACTAGGAATGATTTATACCATGCCACCAATTAGTTGGTCTGACATGTCTTATTATCATAATCAGGTCAGTCCTTGTCATTGTTCTTTATAACTTGACAAGAAGTTTTCTGTGTTGCAACTTGTAAACATTCTTAAACCTCATCATATTCCTTATTCTTTCTCTCAAATAATATATGCTACTCTTATGTTTCGTACAGATTCTTCCTCTGATACAAAAATACAAAGTGGTACATCTAAATAGAACTGATGCCCGACTTGCCAATAATGGACAACCTTTGGATATTCAGAGACTTCGATGCCGAGTAAATTTTAGTGCTCTGAGGTTTACTTCTCAGATAGAGGAGTTGGGTAAAAGGGTTATCAGGCTTCTAAGGCAAAATGGTCCTTTCCTAGTGCTTCATCTTAGATATGAAATGGACATGTTGGCATTTTCTGGTTGTACTCAAGGTTGTAACACTGAGGAGGTGGAAGAATTGACAAGAATGAGGTAAGTTATACTTTACAATCAATGGATTCCATGCAATAAAAGAATTAATTTCACTGTCTTATACTTTCACTTGTTTGGCAGATATGCTTATCCCTGGTGGAAAGAGAAAATAATCAATTCTGACCTGAAAAGGAAAGATGGTTTGTGTCCTCTGACACCTGAAGAAACTGCTCTTACGCTGAGCGCACTTGACATTGATCGCGATATTCAGATTTATATTGCAGCTGGTGAAATATATGGTGCAGAGAGGAGAATGGCAAGTCTTGCAAAGGCTTATCCCAAATTGGTGAGTAGATGAAAGCTGAAGCCACCTTCTGTATTTTGTATATGGTTACTTTTTGTGTTCTGTTTTTACAAGTTGCCGTTGGATTTGTACAAACAGGTCAGAAAGGAGACACTGTTGGAACCGTCAGACCTTAGGTTCTTTCAAAACCACTCATCCCAAATGGCAGCACTGGATTATCTTGTCTCATTGGAGAGCGATATTTTTGTTCCCACATATGACGGAAACATGGCTAAAGTGGTTGAAGGCCATCGCAGGTAGTTTCTGCTGCTGACAGTAATTCTCTTTTGTTTATATCAAAACTTTATGGTAATTTTGTAATGCACCTAGTGGTTTTGCTTGGATTCAAACGATTGGTTTTGGAAGTCAAACCCCAGCCAGTTATTTGGCATCCCAAATCTTGTTTCTTTGAGGAGATGATGATATGTGTACGCTGCTTTGTACCAGTCCGACATTTTTCACTCTGAAAGTGTTGCCAGTTTTGGAGCTTTAGTTTATCACAGGTTCATTTGTTCGTAATCCCTGATATTTAGGCAGAGATGTTTTTCTACATGATCTGTTCTGGGATTTGCTTCATTATTTTCCCCAGTTTACTGTTATAGTATTTTTCTTCCTTTCTTTGTTATTAATGGTGAAAATTTTCATCTAAAGTGAGACATTGGGTGCTCATGTTTCTTCAGATTTCTTGGGTTCAAGAAGACAATTCTACTGGACAGAAAGCTTCTTGTTGATTTGATAGACCAGTACACAAGTGGATCATTGAATTGGGATGAATTTTCATCTGCAGTAAAGGAAGCTCATGCAGGTCGAATGGGGAACGCAACTAATAGATTGATGATCCAAGACCGACCAAAAGAGGAGGACTATTTCTATGCCAACCCAGAAGAGTGTTTGCAACCGTTAGATGAACAACTGAGTAGTACGTGATATATATATATAATGTTAGAAGATTGTGACACTCATCCATGTTCTACAGTGTTGGCTATTTTCCCACAGATGTATAAGAAAGTTGTCTGCAGAGGGATAGCCATAATGAGATTTTGTTCTGAAGAGGCGATGAAGATTATTGTGGGGGGGAAGTAAGTAATCTTCAATAAAGCCCTGAGAGGATCTATGGTACCAGCTGCTGGAGGACATGTTTTATCTTTTATATAAGCCAAATAATCCATCCAAATCATCATGTATAGAAAGCTGCCCTGCCATTCAGGGTGGGAACGAATTAAAACTGCATTGTATGTGGGGGAAACATATAGGTTTGGTTTACTGGAACTGCAAAATCATCAAAGGTCAACCCCTATTCCTTAATTTTTTTTGTATTTTTTGTTTCTTTTTAGATTAGCCTATGGTATTGTGATTCTCAAGCATATGCTACTACTACTACATCCTAAAAGGTTTTTCTGTTTGCACAGATGATTGCCTCATTCCCGTTTGTAATGTGGGTCTAATTCTGAGAGAATGACCGAGAGGGGGGGGCCAATGATTATGTATTTTTACACAATACTCCCATTAATTTATATGTCTAAGAGTGTTTAATTTACTTGGAGTGTTTAGGGTTTTACTGGCCTTAAAGTTTCCCCAGTAGATCATCAGTTGGGTTATTTCTGGATTAGTTGGTAGTACATGTGAATATGCTTGCAGACAGAGGAACAGTTTCCTTTATTTGAGAAGGTGGTTTGTAAATCTCATATGATAATGACAAGCCAAGTAAACAAACCAGTCGAACATGTTCTCTAGGGCCATTGGAATTTTGACATATGTATATATATATATATATATATATATATATATATATATATATATATATATATATATATATATATATATATATATATATATATATATATATATATATATATATATATATATATATATATATATATATATATATATATATATATATATATATATATATATATATATATATATATATATATATATATATATATATATATATATATATATATATATATATATATATATATATATATATATATATATATATATATATATATATATATATATATATATATATATATATATATATATATATATATATATATATATATATATATATATATATATATATATATATATATATATATATATATATATATATATATATATATATATATATATATATATATATATATATATATATATATATATATATATATATATATATATATATATATATATATATATATATATATATATATATATATATATATATATATATATATATATATATATATATATATATATATATATATATATATATATCTGGATTTGGGGGATCTGCTTGCTAGTACTAGTGGTGGGGTAGGGGGCCTTTGGGGGTTGTATATCAATACATTTAATCATATATATGTTGTTAATAATTCCCATATTTGCCACAAAATGGTTGGTAGAAGGATTTCAATTAAATTTGGAAATTTGAGCAAAAAAGAAGAAGAAGAGAATTATACAAGGAGGTTTGGTTCATGTGAATGGAATGATTGCATGTGGTCCTTGACCTTCTTCATTAGCTGGCAATGGCATACTGATATATTCTCTGTCTTTCTTCCCCGGGAAACATTTGGTTAACGTTCATTTCTGTGCACCGCTAATTCAGGGGTTTTTCTTTCTTTCTTTCTTTCTCTTTTCTGGTTGCCACTTGCCATAATATTAATAATAAAGTGAATTGTATATCACAATTATTGACGATAAAGTTTGCTTTTCCTATTGACAGAAAACAAAAGCAGCTTGCTATATTATTTATTGTTCTAATTTCTTGCAAGAGAGCCGAATTTCTGCAAATATTATTGTTCTCATTTCTCGAATATTTGCTTACCCACAAAAAAACAAAAAATGTCTCATCATCATCTCTACCTTGTTAAACACAAAAGTGCCTTTTATCTTCCTTGTTTTTGACACTATCATTTTGTCCTGTATCGAGAATACATATACACTCGAACTTACCTGATGATGGAGAGAGAGCAGGGGTAGACTCTGCTTTTTGTGTTTTTAATATTTGTCCAATTGTCGACCGAATATCAATTTAAATTTTTTGGATGATCCAAGAAAAAGCCACATCCACCCCGAAGAAAGAGCTCTTAATATTCAAATAATTAAGGCAGTTCAAAGTTGCTTTTGAACTACGTCGCAATCAGCAGAAAATATGTTCAATTAATGCAGCTTCGTAATTTTATAATTTTTTGGTGGAAAAATTGCTCGTGGGAGCGAAATGCATAACATCATTGCTTGAGTTTCAAGTCAACAATAAAGAACATTATTTACAACAATGACACTGATAGCAGAGATTTTGTGATAAACTGTTGCTGAACATTGCTTTTGCTTTCAAACTTATAATCCATAAATTCAAGTTTTATTTTTCAATTTTAAAAATCGTTTTAAGATTACGATGCTCTTACTTAGGTAATTGAACTGAGAAAAAGTCTTCAGCAATTCACCCGATCCAATGTTTTAACACCTGATCCAACGATTTCTTTACTTATTAACTCTAATGACTTCGTCTTATCGGTTTGAGAGTTTGATGTAGTCTTTAAAGCATTAATATTATTATATGGTAACACTATTAGTAAAATCTGTACATATTTTCCACAAAATAATGCACATGGGTTTAATCACACACACAAAAGTATAAGTTAAGTTAGTTTCTTATTTGTGAATTTAAAATCCTTTTGTGTAGTGGTTTGGAGCAATTGTTTTCTTCAGGAAAGATTTGAGTTCGAGTCCTAATATTTGTGTAGGGTGTGTGAGTTTAGTATATTGTCGTCCCTAAATAGGAAATGTTTTCAAAACAAAAAAAACAAAAGTTTAAGGTCTTTTTGTTTAAATTCAAAATAGAAAAGGTCTTATTGGATCAATATGACCAGATTGTAGATTTGGCCCAATTTCCCAATCATACGACTCAATCCATGTTTGGGCCATTGGTTATTCTGGCATTTTGAGCTTGGGCTGACCCAAATGAAGAAGAGAGTCATATTGGGCTTGGGTTGACCCGATCCATTTGGTACCAGGAGGAGATTCATAAGATAAAAATTCAACATTAATTGAAGTTCTAATGTAAGAGGGTAACCAGTATTTCATTAAGAAAAAAATAATAAAATTACATCCAAAAAAAAGTCATGTTGCCAAAGAAATTGGGGCACAAGAAATAACACTGCAAGAATTACAAGACGAGGAAAGAAGCCTCAACTGAAAAAGCAGCTTCTCAACATTAGAATGGAAGCCTCAATAATAATGATAATTCACAAAAAATAAAAAAGACAACAAATATTTGGTTGGGAAATCAATCTATGGATCCCAACAAACTAAACTAGACACTACATGTACAAATTACAATCAATCGCAGTCTCGACTGGGTAGATTATAAACCAGCAGAAGACATGAATAAACCCCCATGCATCAAAGGGGTTCCCAAAAAAATGAATTAATTATAAATCATTAACAAATAATTATAGCAGTAATTAATATAGTTGCCTTGTCATATTAGTTTCTGCCTGTCTTGAGCTTCTTTGGGGCATGTTCAGAGTCTTCACCACTTGCAACTCTAGAGTGTCTTTTTCCTTGATTGCTAGAGAGGATCTCGTTGTCCTGCAGCAGAATGGGCGAAATGTTTAATTATATATGTTTCTTCAAAATGAAACAGGGGAATGACAATGGCATTAATTTGTGTAGGGTGTGTGAGTTTAGTATATTGTCGTCCCTAAATAGGAAATGTTTTCAAAACAAAAGTTTAAGGTCTTTTTGTTTAAATTCAAAATAGAAAAGGTCTTATTGGATCAATATGACCAGATTGTAGATTCGGCCCAATTTCCCAATCATACGACTCAATCCATGTTTGGGCCATTGGTTATTCTGGCATTTTGAGCTTGGGCTGACCCAAATGAAGAAGAGAGTCATATTGGGCTTGGGTTGACCCGATCCATTTGGTACCAGGAGGAGATTCATAAGATAAAAATTCAACATTAATTGAAGTTCTAATGTAAGAGGGTAACCAGTATTTCATTAAGAAAAAAATAATAAAATTACATCCAAAAAAAAGTCATGTTGCCAAAGAAATTGGGGCACAAGAAATAACACTGCAAGAATTACAAGACGAGGAAAGAAGCCTCAACTGAAAAAGCAGCTTCTCAACATTAGAATGGAAGCCTCAATAATAATGATAATTCACAAAAAATAAAAAAGACAACAAATATTTGGTTGGGAAATCAATCTATGGATCCCAACAAACTAAACTAGACACTACATGTACAAATTACAATCAATCGCAGTCTCGACTGGGTAGATTATAAACCAGCAGAAGACATGAATAAACCCCCATGCATCAAAGGGGTTCCCAAAAAAATGAATTAATTATAAATCATTAACAAATAATTATAGCAGTAATTAATATAGTTGCCTTGTCATATTAGTTTCTGCCTGTCTTGAGCTTCTTTGGGGCATGTTCAGAGTCTTCACCACTTGCAACTCTAGAGTGTCTTTTTCCTTGATTGCTAGAGAGGATCTCGTTGTCCTGCAGCAGAATGGGCGAAATGTTTAATTATATATGTTTCTTCAAAATGAAACAGGGGAATGACAATGGCATTAATAAAACCTGCATCAACATGATACCTTAACAACAGATTTCGGTATAGGCGATCGACTATTTGCTCGCTTCCCAAGTTCAATTTGCACTGAGATGCTCAAAACCTGCATCAATATGATACCTTAACAACAGATTTCGGTATAGGCGATCGACTATTTGCTCGCTTCCCAAGTTCGATTTGCACTGAGATGCTGGCCTGTGACAAATCCACACCAGAATTCTGCAGGGCTTGTGTCAGAGTATTCAACAACCTGTCCAATCCCGACATTCGATTATGTTATTGACTCATTCATAAATCTACAAGCATATTCATTAGTACCAGACAGACTACTATCTTAATCTTCTCAAAGTTTATGTTTAGTACATTTACAGCCAGGTCTGATGAATTAGATCACAGAACCTTAACCAAAGACCTATTAAATATGTGACTTGAACCAAAAGGAAACTCACCCTTGAGAGTACGCACTTGAGATGTTAATTCGACCGCCTTCAATTGTCAGCTCCTGTTCTTTTAGCTTATCCCTAGTGACAGCACCATCGGTAGCATGCGATACTGTCTGGCCTAACATAGATTGATGCTGAGATGTGTTCTCTGCATCAGATGGCAATCTAGGTGGAAGTTGAGGTACTGCAGCACCACCACTCCTGACAGGAGTGAAGAAGTTGGGCTGCATTGACAAAGGAAAGGGCATTGGCTTGCTTGTTATTCCAGGGTGGTGATCCATTGCTTTGAAGGTAGTTTCAGTACTTGTATCAGATTCTACAGGGTTCTGAGCACAGCTTCCAGGAATTGACGGTGAAACAGAAGTAGTTTTCTCATCAAACTTTGCGGCAAATACTAATGCAGGACCAGACCCACCATTCATGCCTCGAGATTGATCGCAGTAACTTTCCCTAAGCTTGGGATTGTTTCTCTGCTTCAAGTAAAAAGACGATACTCTACAATTAGGCAACTCCAATATATACCGACATAAATTTGTGTGTATAAATCTTTTAGTAAATATGAACAGAATACATGCCACAAAGGCTAAAGACCTGACTTCTATGCCACAAGTGTAAAGCCCCACGAGTGATACTAAGGTTTCCAAATTGAATGGAACATAATCAGTAAAGGGAATAAAAAAGATTTACCCAAGGCATCAATTTCGCTGGATCAGGGTTCCATCCTTGGTATGATCCCTCATACTTGTTTACTTTTTCCTGTAAAAACTGAATGTATTCGATAACCTGGGAAGCAAAAAGATTGAAGTTTAAGAAAAACCCAATTATTCAACAAGTGAAATGAAAGGTGAAAAAAGGAACAAATTACAACAATTAAAACTTGTATGTACCTCCAATAAAAATGACGCCTTATCTCTTTTTTGATCACTATGAGGAATGAGCTCTCTCAACATCTGGAATCTGCAACAATAACTTCAAGGGTCAATCTCAATCTCAATCTAATGTTCACCAAACCACCAAGGAGCAAAGCCATCTGATTATGCCATCAACTTTTCATATCATATAAGAAACTATTACTTCATAAACATGAAACTTTCTAAAATTTGGGATTTATCTTGGTTCTTGTAGTACTCATTTCCAAAACATGACTCATTATATTATATCAAATAGTAAATGTGTTGCATCAGATTTAGCGTGTGTAAACTATTAAAATTATAATGCAAGGGAGGAACACTTGCCTATCATTTATTTTGCTCCTCCTTCGCTGCTCTGTGGCAGAGTGCTTGGACCGTGGTGTGTTAGCTTTCTGATCAGAGCTCTTAACGTCAACTGTTACCCTCAAATCTCCTTTAAAGAAACACCCAAACTCTTCAGTGAAGTTGAAAAAATGAAGGAAAAAAATAAGCTAAAGAATTTTAAGTGAATCTTAGTGCTAAGAAGGAGACATACCCTTATAGGGGGTGGTGGCGGTGGTGGTAGTAGTAGAGGTCTCCTTTTTGAGAACAAACTCATCTTCATCGTCCAGTTCGTCTTCCTGGGTACTTGCCTTGGCGGCAGACTTCATCATCTCCATGAAGCTTATGTTCTTCTGCCCAGATGACCTGTTGAAATTTCAATTGTATATCAAAAACTGTATCTATAATATTGAAATCAGTAACATGAAGAAATTAAAAACATAAAGAGTTCGAGATGTTAAGTTACTAACTGAGCACTGAAGCAGTTGCGATGGTTGTTGGAAGATGACTGCGCAGGCCGCTCTGAAGACGTCCATTGCCCTGTAAAATCCCCAGTAGCCGATAGCTATCAGTTTCAGTTCAATTTTTCACCATTTGTTCTTTCTTATCATTTCATTCAAAAGTAGAGGCTTATTATACATGGAATATATGTGATTGATGGTGAAGCGTGAGCGATCAGAGTGAAAATATACACTACATCTATATATACCACATGCAAAAACACAAATATTTTATTTTTTGGGGTCAACTGCAAAAATACAAATGAGTTTAATTATTTACCTCTCACAATACCCGCTGGTCTTTCTCCCACATTCTCCTTCCCTGTCTTTCCCTTATTCTTTAATGCAGATTCTTCCCACAAAGTGAATCCACTTCCAGTGTAAGAACTGCAGTTTGAGTGTTCCTCAACATTTCTGTCGGTGCTACTTGCTTGAGCTTGAGTGACTGTAAATACCGGCGATCCCTCTGGTTTTGGAACCCTTTGATTAAAATAAGAAATGTGGCTTATAGTGTAAGTCCCAATCCCACCAGGGAGAACGTGCTCCGCAGAAGAAATTGGCTGCGCTGCTGCTGCTGCTGCATGAGATGCTGGCTTTTCAGCAGTTGATATCTCAACGGATGCTTCTTCCTTAGCTATGCATTTCTTTCCCATTCGTTCCAGTGGTTGTAGGAAATCATGAGTTTCAAGGTAGCCTCCTGATGACATAATTAAACCAAAATTAGGTCTCTGAACCAGATAAATACTGCATATATCTAGCTCTACTATTATATTTTTAGGTCAAATTTTCACCAATTAGCTAGGCTAATATTTTTGTAGTTTCAAATTTGCAACATTTCCTTCTCCAACAGCTTCTACTGCATTAGCATTCAATATTTGACAAATTATGAAGCCATGACAGAAAAAATTAATAATCATGTGGCATGGCAATGGATCAACAAACCAATAAATAAAATGTCATAATAATTATAAAAAGCTGATCTTTAAATTCTTATTTTATAGAAAGTGAAAAAAATCAGTCTAATCTAATTTTTTTTCAGCATCATTTCTCAGATCCAAGATTTGGAAAACAACATGTTTAAAAACTTAACCACAAATTTTAATGAATATGACAAACAAAAAAACAAAGAAAAGATTTAGCCATCACTTCACATCCCACGCTTCATCTGAATACCAATGCACCTGCGTAAGGCGTGATATGTGAGATGTCAAATCATGTCTAACTTCCATTGGTGGGGCAAGTGGGTCCCATCAGGGCCCCACCCACATATCCATCTCGTGCCAATCTAATGGTGTTGATTGGTAAAGGCTAACCCTTTCCTTTTTCGCATTGGCAGCCAATTCAAGGCTGGCCTACAATTCATGGCCCAGATGGATAACCAGATCCATGATTCAAATGTGGTCACGTGCATGCATAATAGCGACCCCTATTTCTTTAATTCAACAAACAAAATATATATTTTCCTCTTATCTAAGCATTAACGAAAAATTAAAAAAAGGAAAGAGAAAAGCAAATTGTTTTTGGGATTTTAAACAAAAATATTCTGAAATTGAAGGAAAAATACAAGGATTACCTTGAGAAGGTGGCCTTGGATCTTGTTGGGCAGTTGGATGACTGTAGAGTGACAGAAAGTCGTGCGTTGGTTTCCTTCCTGTAGAAAAACTTTGAAATCAAGGTTAAGAAATAAAACGCAATTCTATTGGTTTCCATTTCCTAAAATTCTGATTCCGAAATTAAAAAAACCAAAAAAAAAAACGAATCCGTTTCCGAAAAATGAATACCTTCGGTTCCAAACGGACGGGGTTGAGGAAGCTCCATCAGTACAGGCGGGTTAAATAATTATTTGCGCGGAAAATTCTCCTGGTAATTTTAACAGAATTTCAGTATCAAAATTCAGCGGAAATTCAGTAAGCGCTGGCAGAGCCTTCAATTTTATTTTATTTGAATTTCCAAATTATTGACGTTGGAGCCAAGATTCTTTCTTGAGCTGCACAGATCCGCCGAGAGCCTAAAGCCTCCGCCAGAAGATCGGAGGCACATTCACTTTTGCTTTTGCCTTCGCTTTCAGAAGCGGCCAAGATAAAAATCCAGGCTTTGATTCCAATTCTCCGAATGCTTTTCGATACCAGTTGCTTTGGCTGCAATTTTGTTGGCCACGAAACTGTCAGTTGTTCTCCATAACTGATATAAGTTCATCAAACGAGACGTAAATTCACAGAATTCAACGAATCTACCATTGAATTATAACCGGATAGGAATTCTTTTTTCTTTTTTTTATAAAAAAAAAAGCTTACCATAAATTAAAATTTTACATATTTGTCAAGCAGATTCAAAACTAATTAATTATACGCAATTCGAAGTTTTTTATAAAAAAAAACTCAGCAAGCGAATAAGATCCCAAGGGAGGAAGTTAAAAAATTTCAAACCTGCAAGCAATTCACGTGAAGATTGAGCTCCCAAGTCCTGTATGTACACTGCAGAAAGTGCTTCGAATTCAGAGCTTGAAAATACCATACCGTAATTCCGGTAATTAAAGATCGAAAAGAAAAGAAGAAAAACAACAGCTTCGAAATTTCGAGCATAAATTTGACCTTTTTGAAAAATTCTGATCGGCGTCTCCTTTTTCAATTCCTCGTCCAGATAGCCGGACCCTCTCTCTCTGTCTCTCTCTGTCTCTCTCTCTGTCTCTCTCTGTCTCTCTCTCTCTCTATGTGAGTTTGTGAGAGTTGTGTGAGTTCTTTGGCTCAGGATCTTTTATACAGTTTTCATTTGCCTGCTTGCTTTGCCTTCAGTATTGTTTTCATTTATTTATTTAAATATTTGTTTTGGTTGTTTTCCGTTAGATAAACCGCCGTTGGGCTAACGAGGTTGCGGCGGGGTTAACGGCGTTAAGGTTTGGAGCGGAGGGTAGTGTAGCGTGGCCGTTTACTCTTAACTGGGTAAGGCTTTTCAGGGTTCACGGAACTCAATTATTTACTTTTACTTGAATTCAATTTTTTTTTATTGTTTTCGGCAATCCCCATTATTTTATTTATTCTTTTTTTGATTTGGCAATCCCGAGTAATAGTCTTCTTTACTTGGTCTGTGTTTCTGTCCGTTTGTCCACATACGAAGATAATCACTTCATTTTTTTTCTTTTTCTTTCCAAAAAAATAATATAAGGAAAGGCTTAAATAATGTTTTAACAGATGACTTGTTTTTTTTTTTCTTTGTTACAACTTACAATACAAGTAACAAGTGTTTATTTATGGGTATAATCTAGTGCATTACCCATGCTAATACTAATTTCACCGTTCAATATTTATATTAGCGTGTGTAAACTTTAAGGGCTCGTTTGGTGCTCTTTCTGATACTATAGTAGAACAGTTTACTATCCTTGAGACAGATAATTATCTTAATTTTCCATTATTGAGATAATTATACTAATAGATAGTTATATTTTAATTAATGAGTTTTCAGTGTATAAACAGTCAGCAGCCTTTTGGGAAGGGGGTTACCGACTTACCACTTCTGGGTACGCTTAAGCAACGCACGTGCAACCCTCTCTGCGTTTTGGGAGTTAGAGCTCAGCTCAGAAAGTACACAGATAATAAGAGAAAGGGAAGCCAAGTTTATACTGTTTCACTGCACAATAAGAAAAAAAGTTTGACACAAAAATAAGTCACGTGATCGGGTAAACTAAGCGTTGACGTGGGAACAGTAGAATGAATGTTGACCCCGTTATCCGCGACTTAACAACAACTAAATATACACTTAGTGATGATTAGAGGCACAGATCCCCATCAACTTACTAATGTTAATAAATATTATTATTACTGCACTTGCCTTTAGCTCACGAGCTGAGAAAAGCTCTCTCTCCTCTCTCTCTCCTCTCTCTCCTCGGGCTGCGACTGACTTGTCACCTTGTGAAAGGATGTTGGTGGTAACGGAGCAAATGTCACGTGCCGCCCCACTCCTTCAGTTCACTCATTCATTTTGGTTTCGTTTTATCTGTCTGTACCGCTGAACGCGGGACTTCTGTCTTTGTGGGCCGTGGCTTTGCATTTCCCCATGTATCCTTTCATAACGCAAGGGCTGTGTAAGTGTAAAAAAACTTGCGTGGAAAAGGGATAACATTATTGCTATGCAGTTTATTATAAATTGTCATATAAAAAACTTATCACGTGTAGCATGCCAATGATTGAACGAAAATAGCAAAATATTGTTATTTCCGTTTAACACGAGCGTTTCTCGTCTAGATGACTTCAAACCGTGAAATATTTAAAAACTCTTAAACTCAAACGATTAGCCAGTACCTTTACTAAAGAGTGGTGATTTCCCCACTCCAATTTTATCCACTTATACTCTGATAACATTATTGCTATGCAGTTTATTATAAATTGTCATATAAAAAACTTATCACGTATGGCATGCCAATGATTGATCGAAAATAGCAAAATATTGTTATTTCCGTTTAACACGAGCGTTTCTCATCTAAGTGACTTCAAACCGTGAAATATTTAAAAACTCTTAAACTCAAACGAAGTGATTTGGATAATCCATATGTAAATGAATTTCCCCACTCCAATTTTATCCACTTATACTCCATTTTATAACTAAAAAAGGAGTGTAAGTGGATAAAATTTGAGTGGGAAAATCATTACCCTTACTAAAAGGCTAATTTGAAAAAAGAAGATAAAAAATGAGTTATAAAGTGATTTGGATAATCCATATGTAAATGAATCGTAACAAGAATAGTTTAACTAAGATCAATTCGTTATTTTTCTCCTTGTTTTCTAGACGATAACAATTATTCGTCCACACTGTTTATAGAGAATCATAATGTTAATTAATTAAGAATTATAATTCTTTAATTATATGATCTCTATTAATCTCCGACAATCATGCATGGCAATTGAGCATTCACATTGCGATCCAACAGCTTGGCGCGACAATCCACTTCCCTTCCTTTCTTTCCACTTCTCACAATACAAATAGTATTAAAATTGGGAGAACATGGCTCTCAATTCACAAGTCGTACAAAAAATTAAATTAAAATGAATTAAGTCGTACGGTGTAGGTTGTTCTGTCTGTGTTTCTCTTTCAGCATCACCCACCCTAACCCTAGTTTCAGCATATGACACCGCCACTTCTATTCCTCTTAAATATTTACAATAAATAATTTTGTTCAATTTAACATTTTTTGAACTTGTAGTTTGCCAAAATATATTGGATTTTGATGCATTTTTAGGGAGCGTGTTGTTCAATAATAAGCCAAATGTGCCGTGTCAAGCTAGAATTAGATGAATTTATGAAAGAAGAATATGATATATGAATTGGCATGTGACGCCCACCCAATAAGATGCTTGCAAATACTTGTTTTCTCTGAATTAATTAATTCCTATTTAAGTCACATGATCATAACTAATTAATTTATTAAGTATACCACGTCTCCTGTTAATTTCCTAAGAAGCTGCGGCTGCTCACACCATGTCATCATGTCTTAATAATTAGTAATTGGTAAAAGGTGTAGTAATTTCTAAGATTGCTATAAGTTATTGGTAGATTTGTTTGCAGGAAATTGTACTTTTTGGTGTATTGCACACGTGACCATCTTATATGAATAGAGAGGATAAAATTTGGAATGGAAAAAAATGAACCCCACATGCAATGCAACTACTACTAGTCAAGAGTCGTAAATGCTGTCTACCTTACATCACGTGCAGGATAAAGATTAATTAGCTAGTAAACAGGATTAGAACATTTAGGTTTGGAAAGAAGAAAAAATAAACACGAAAATAATTGAGCATAAAATTGATTAAGTTGGTAATTAAGGAGTTTGAGAAGCTTGGGCGAACTTGTAAGAAAGAAAAAAAGGTAGAGAGCCCTTAGCTAGGATTCGGAGGGTAGTGGTGAGTAGTGAGTGGCTCAACCGCTCAAGAAGATGTGACCCCTGAAAAGTGATATGTGCGTAGCTAATTGATTAAGTTGGTCATTTTCATGCTTTGTCGTCACAAACGGCAGTGCCCATGGGCCACCTGAGTTGACCCCCCACCTCACGTGCATAAAAAAACATGGCAAATCCCACAGCCCTCACTCACTTTATTAAGTTATTTAACATCAACACTGTCCCTTTGGTGTTTCTACCTTTGGAAATTCGATGAGCACACTGCCCCTATCTCTTATATCATATACATGACGATAAATATAGAGAGAAAAGAGTATGAAACATATTGTATAGAAGATTTACTTCTGCTTTCTCGGATCCAACAATTTCGTTCGAATTAAACAAATCCCAAACCTTTCTCGTAAGAAATCTCGAGCCATAATATTCATGATTCATGTGAAGATATGTGTGTTTTTTACTGAAAAAAAGATAAATTAACAGTTCAAACAAATTTAAACAATATTTATTTTGAGTGAAAGTTATGGATGAATTTGAATATTCAGCTTAATTGTAAGAGTAATGCTACTCTTATTATATTTGTATATCACATTCACATACCACTTTATATAGCACATGAAGTGGACAACCACAACAATTAAAAACTGTCAATAAATCATAAAATAAAATAAAATGTTAAATTAATTTTAATTGATGTGGTTGTCCACTTCATCTATCACATAATGTGATATTAAAATATGGTAAGAATAGCATTATTCTAATTATAAATCAATTTTTATAATCCGAAGTTCCAAACTGAATACGTGAGGAGTAATCCAAGACGTAAGCAAAGAACCACAACAATTAAAAACTGTCAATAAATTATAAAATAAAATAAAATGTTAAATTAATTTTAATTGATGTGGTTGTCCATTTCATCTACCACATAATGTGATATTAAAATATGGTAAGAATAACATTATTCTAATTATAAATCAATTTTTATAATCCGAAGTTCCAAACTGAATACGTGAGGAGTAATCCAAGACGTAAGCAAAGTGTATGAAAGTGCTGGAATATAAATAAATAATGTTTAGTTTTGTTATCCATCAGGACCTTT